CGAGGACGCCGCTCGTCCCGTGCCGGTCCGCGGCCCCGCGGCCCCCAAAAGTGCCGAAAGATTGCCGCCCAGCAACGGCCAACTCCGAGAGATCTCTCGCGGAGCTCGTCGACACCGCCGCGCGCGCCGCCGCCGCGCCGCCGCCGCCCCCGCCCTCCGCGCGACTTCGTCCGCCGCGTCGCCACCGCGCGCGAGACGAGATGAACTTCGCGTATTCGCTCGTGACGAGGACGAAGAAGAGCGACAAGGCGTCGCTCCACGAGTTCCGCGACGTGCGCGACGTCGACGGCGAGAGCTTCGATTTCTCCACCCTACGAGGTCGCGTCGTCCTCGTCGCGAACGTCGCGTCGAAGTGAGGCAAGACGTCGTGCCACTACAGCGGCTTCAACGAGCTCATGCAGACGCACGGCGCGGACGCGTTCGCGATCGTCGCGTTCCCGTGCGTCCAGTTCCTGTATCAGGAGTCGTCGTCCAACGCGAAGGTCAAGGCGTTCGCGGAGCGACGAGGGTTCAAAGGGAAGGGGCGCGTGCTGATGGACCGAGTGAAAGTCAACGGCTGGGGCACGAGCCCGGTGTGGGACTACCTGAAGACCGGGACGAAGACCGGGACGATCATGTGGAACTTCACGAAGTTTCTGTGCGACGTCGACGGCAGAGTCGTCGCGAGGTTCGGCCCGGACGTGCATCCGACGGCGCTGTCCGCGAGGATCGGCGCTCTCGTCGCCGCCGCGAAAGCCGCCGAGGTGCGTTCTATACACTGGTCCCCATACGACCGCGTCGGCGTGGTGAACGCCGTTCCTTAAGGACTTTGCCCGGCGTTTCTCTCCGCTCATCCCTCGCTTTCAATCCCCGTCCTCGACGCCTTTCAACTCCGTCTGACGCCTTTGAACTCCACCCCGACATTCGCTTGTATAGAACGGCCCTGAGTCCGCGTCCGAGTCGAAGGCGTCGTGAGCGAGGTCACGCGGCGGGCGCGATAGGTACTAGATGTAGACGACGTAGAGGTAGTAGATGGGCGTGCGATGGGACGGGTCATCGCCCGCGACGCGGACGCGAGCGAACGTTTCCTGTGCTGTGTGGGAACCAGTCTGTCGGACCGCGTGACGCCGCGCGCCGAAACCGAGACGCTCGCGCGTCTCGGCGGCGCCCGCGGCCGACGATCGACGACAGACGCCGTTCGCGTTCGCGTCGACGGGCGAGCGCTTTAATTAACCGCGCGTGTGTGCGTATCGTACATTTACATCACAAGGTAAAAACCCAAAGCCCCGACCCCCGCGCGGGAGAAGGAAGAGTCACTTCTTCTCCTTCTTCTCCTTCTTCTCCTTCTTGTCCTTCTTCTCCTTCTTGTCCTTCGCCTTCTTCGCCTTCTTCGCGCTCTTCTCCCCGTCGTCCGACGCCTTGCGCTTCTTCCCGCCGCCGCCGCCGCCGCCGCCGCCGTTCGCGGCGAGGTACTCCGGCCCCGCCGCCTCCAAAGCCGCCTGCATCATCGCGATGTTCTTCTTCGGCGCGGTTCCCTTGTCGTAAAACTCCAACCGCTCCTCCACCTGCTCCTTCAGCTTCTCCCCGAACGCGGTGGTTTGAAAATCGCTGAAGCAATCTATCCGCGACGCGATCGAGCACTTGTTCGCGAGATACCGCGAGATCCGCCCTTTGTTCCTCGCGTGCGCCTTCCCGATGAAGCTCGAGTGAAAGATGAGGCCGTACTTTGGCGTGTTTCCCTTGGTCTTGAGCGCGCGAAACAGCGCCTTCTCCGCGCCGAGAATCTGCACCGTTGACGCCGGGTACTTGGCGAGGTTCGTGAGCGAGCCGGCGTGAGAGATGAGACGCGCGCCGACGATGTCGCCGATGAGCGTGGCGAGGTTGGGCGCGACCTGCGACGATAGGAGGGAGGAGAAGGGGAGAGATGAACGGGGGTTTAGACGAGTCAGCGAGGCGCACGCGGCGGGGGCGACGTCGACGCGGGAGAGAGCGGGAAAGAGCGGCGCGAGCGGCTCCGCCGCGGCGTGAATCAGAGTGGTGCATGAAATGTAGCATCAAAGATGTTCAGATCAGGTCTGTGATAGGTGTATCATAATCATCATAAACACGCCGCGGGCGGGGCGCGCGGAGACAGACAGACAGAGAGAGAGAGAGAGAGAGAGAGAGAGAGAACGATTTTGGGACGGAAGCGCACCGCCGACATCTTCGCCGAGAGGTACTCGTGCAGGGACTTGCGGTACTCCGCGAGGGAGATGACCCTCTTCGCGAACGCCTCGATGTTCACGAGATCGACCGGGGAGATATCCTGCCCCATGGACGCCTTCGCAGCCTCGATGACCTCCTTCGCCTTGTCCTCGTCGCCGGTGATCTCCGTCAGCGCCTTCAAGCCGTCGTTTGTCAGCGTAGCCTTGTCCTTCACCGCGAGCGCGACGCGGCAGAAGAGGTAGTTGTCCGGGATAACCTTCACGAGCTCTGGGAAGTGCCAGCCGTACCACTCTCTGACGCGCATGACGAACGTGTTGATGTCCTTGTCCAGGATGTCGATCAACGCGATGGCGTTGATGATCATGTTGTCGCTTCGGTTTACGTTGAACTTGACGCGCGTGCGCGAAAACGAGTGCGCCAAGCCGAGCTGCGCCCTCTCGTAGTCGCCGTCTTTCAGCCCTTTCATGAAACGCGAGAAGTGGTAGCGGCAGCCGCGGATCATCTCGCCGATGTGGTCGTTGCTCACGCACGGGATGGACGTGTGCTCGACGATCGAGTTCCCGAGCTTGGGGTCCGCGACGCCGAGTTGGAATTTCGCCTTTTTCGCGTCCTTCACCTTCGGGAGGTTCATCTCCAGGAAGTTCTTCAGGTCGTCCGAGCACGTCGACTCCGCCACGGAGTTGATCTGCTCCAGCGCGTTCGCCGCGGACGTGAACGGCTTGAAGCCTTTCAGTTTCACCACCTTCCCGAAGCGCGTCATGTCACTGTAGGTGGACGCGGATCGATTTCGCGGACGGATCGATCGGGAGGGGAGCGCGTCAGGGGGGGATCGCGTCGGCGGCGGGTTCGGAGGCGGTGTTCGTCGATCGAGGCGCGGACTCGTGTTGGCGTGTTGGACGACGATCGCGTCGTCGAGCGCGTCGCGGACGCGCGCGTCGCGGACGCGCGCGTCGTCGCCGCGGGACGCGTCGTCGAGTCGCAGAATTGCGCCCGCCGCCAAAGAAACCTAAGCGCGGCGGGGCGAGAGGCGAGAGAAAGAATGGGCGATTGTCGCGAGGACGCACGTGACGGTCTCCTGGACGGCCTCTTGCGTCTGCCCGATCTCGTCCATGTCGAGGCCCTCGAAGAGGGCGTACCCCGACGCGGACTCGTAAAGGAGAAAGGTAGCCATGGCGCGCGCGCGCGTGGGAAGAGTGCGTCGGTCGGCGCGCGCGAGGCGCCGAAAACGAGCGAATCGACGGCGGCTGAGAAAGAAATGCGATGCCGGAGTTCCGCGAGTCGAGAGGATCGACGGTCTATTGACTCAAGAAAAATGAGCCAACGCAGACTGAACGCCAATGCGTCGACGACGGAAGTCGCGGACGCGTAACGAGATCCTCAAGCAGTCAGTTCCGAGGCCGCGGCGACGCGGAACGGCAACGCGCGCGCGACGACGAACGTCGCGATGCTACGTCGCGCGGCGTCGCGCGAGCGCGCGCGCCCGCTCGCGGGCGCGCGCCCGCTCGCGCCACTGACGAGCGCGGACGAGCGCGCGGACCGGGACGATCGCGCGAGCGGTTCGTCGTCCGCGCTGTCGTCGTCGCCGACGACGACGACGCGTCGCGGGTTCCGCGCGGAGGCGCGCGGAACCCGCGAGACGCCGCGAAGACGCGGCCAGGACGGCGGCGCGCGCTTCGTCATCGCGGACGTGGACGCGCGCGTCTCGCGGATCGGCCGCGTCGACGCCCGCGGGTTCGCGGCGTCCGCGCTGCGCGCACGAGATCATCGCCCCGGACGAGGAGGGGGAGGAGCGGGATCGTCGTCGTCGACGACGACGACATCGCGCGCGTTCGCCGCCGCGGCGCCGCCGGACGCGTCGCCGTCGACGACCCCGTCCGGCGGCGGCGGCCCCGCCGCGCCGGTGCCGCCGCTCCCGCGCAAGGGCACGCCCGAGTACGCGGCGGCGACGAGACCGCCGGAGGTGAGCCTCGGGGGGGGAGGGGCCGCGAAGCCGTCGTCGCCGTCGTCGTCGTCGTCGTCGTCGTCGTCGTCCGTCTCGACCGAGCCGCTCCCCGCGGACGACTCCGAGGCGGACGCCGCGGTCGTCGTCGACCTCCACGCGCTCGCCCACGCGAGGGCGGAGATCGACCGTCTGCACCGCGAGCGGCAGCTCAAAGAGGTGGAGTCGAGATGGGGAAAGGTGGTCAAGGCGTGGGAGAGCGTCAAGGCGCTCGGACCGTACGTCGCGTCAACGGCGAAGATGTCGCCCGCGGAGTGGAAGACCGCGTGCGCGTCCACGTGGCATCACTTCAAGGACGAACTCCGGCATTACTGGATGGGGACGAAGCTGTTGTGGGTGGAGGTGAAGATCGCGCGCAGGCTGCTGTTTAAGACGTTGAGGGGCGAGCCGCTGACGCGAAGGGAACGGAGGCAGATGACGCGGACGACGGCGGACGTGTTTCGTCTCGTCCCGTTCGCCGCGTTCGTGTTGATACCGTTCATGGAGTTCTTACTCCCCGTCGCGCTGAAGCTGTTCCCGTCGATGCTCCCGACGACGTTCCGGAACGAGCTCAAGCACGAGGAGGAGCTCAAGAAGAAGCTGAACGCGAAGCTCGAGGTGGCGCGATTCCTTCAAGACACGGTCAGCGTGATGGCGAAAGGTCTGAAGCAATCGAGGTCCGGGTACACGCGCGAGAGGGCGAGCACGCTGTACGACTTCATGAAGAAAGTCCGCGCGGGCGACGCGAACGTGAAGAACGACGACATCACGCGGTTCGCGAAGCTCTTCAAGGATGAGTTCACGCTCGATCACATCTCAAGAGGGCAACTCACGAACATGTGCAAGCTCGTCGGGCTGGCTCCGTACGGCACGGACACGTACCTGCGGTATCAGCTCCGCAACAAGCTCCGCGAGCTGAAGCAGGACGACAAGCAGATCATGTCGGAGGGCGTGGAGAACATGTCCGTCGCGGAGCTGCAGTCCGCGTCGAGGGCGCGCGGGATGCGTTCGGACACGCACGACAGGAACATCCTCGAGCGTCAACTCAAAGATTGGCTCGAGCTGTCGCTCGAGAAGAGGCTCCCGCCGTCGCTGCTGGTTCTCTCGCGCGCGTTCACGATCACGTACGAGGAGAAGGAGGAAGCCACCTACGGCGCCGGCGACGTCGCGTGGGCGGAGCCGGACGAGAAGGTGGACGAGCGCGCGAAAGAGGAGCGAAGAACCGCAGCGATGCGCGAGATTCAAGACACGATCGCGTCGCTTCCCGAGGAGGTCGTCATCTCCGTCACGGAGGAGCGCTCGCTCGCGCAGGACCGCAAGCAAGAGGTGGAGCGGAAGCTCGAGTTCTTGGAGCAAGAGGAGGAGCTCATCCAGGAGGAGATCGCGGACCAGAAGCTCGAGGAGTGCGAAGTCCGGGCTGCGGAAGAGAAGGCCAAGGCGGCGAGAGAGGCCAAGGAGGGGAAGACGGACGCGGAGATCACGATCGACGCGCACGAGAATAAGAGCTCGAGCGCCGCCGGCGGCGCGGACGAAGACGAAGAGGCGGCGAGCGCGGCGAAAGCGAAGGAGGCCGCCAGAGCCAAGCCGAAGGAGGAGCCCGCGAGCCCGTGGATCCCGATCGACTCGGTGTCGCTCGACGAGGTGGAGTCCGTCGTCGCCGGTCGCCGCGCGCACAGGGCGGCGAAATTGTCGCGGCTACTCGCCGCGCTCGCGGGCGTCTCCTCGCTCAGCGTCGAGCGCAAGGAGCTCATGCTGCTCGTGAGGAAAGAGCTCTCCGTGTACGCGAAGCGACTGAAGCAAGTCCAGAAGCAGCTCGAGGGGTTGGAGGGCGCGGACGCGATGGTCGCCGCCGTCGCCGCGGAGGGCGACGTGGAAAAAGCGGAGAAGATGAAGCACACCGCGCACTACCTCATCACGGAAGAGGACCGCGACGACGACGACGAGGAGGAGGAGGAGGAGCGCATGCCGTCGCCGGAAGAGCTGATCCCGGACGAGAAGGAGGAGCTCAAGGCGGCGTCGGACGCGGCGTCGGACGACGTCGAGGACGAGAGGCTCGCGGACCCGGCGGAGGTCGTGCCGGACGAGAACCCCGAGGTAGACGACGGGGAAGGGAAGCGCGCGCGGTGGTTCCGCGCCAACTACGACGCGGAGCTGTGCGACCGCGTGAACGACAGGGTGAATCGGATGCTCGCGAGCGTGAAGAAGGATCTCGACGCGTCAGACGCCGTCATCGGAGAAAAGTTTAAAGTGTTGGACGCCGACGGCGACGGGAGGATCTCTCTGGAGGAGCTCACCGGCGTCGGCGGAATCCTCGCGCACGAGCTCGACGAGGAGGATAACGCGGAGCTGAAGGAGATCTTGAGCTCGCTCGACGTCGACGGCGCCGGGAGGGTGGACGTCGCGGACCTCTCGAGGCTGGTCACGGATTTGATCGCGAAGGAATTTCACGAGAGAGAGTCGCACGACGACGACGACCACGACGAGGCGAGCGAGGACGACGCGAGCGGCGCCACCGCGAAGGAGAAGGAGAAGGACGAGACGACGCCGAACGGCAACAACAGCGCGCCCTCGAAGGGGGAGTGAGTACACTAGTAGCTTTCAACACACGATAAATACGGACGACGCGCCCGCGGAGTGACGTCACCGCGCACCAATCATACGTTATCGCCATCGCGCCTTTCGCAAAGCGTGTTCGATGACTTCGTGCGACTTCTCCGGCTGATCCACGAAGGCGTAGTGCCCGGCGTCGTCCAGTATCGCGCACCGCACGTTCGCCCGCCCGTTCGCGCGCATCCGCTCCACCACCTCCGCGCCGGACGCCGGGGACATCCAGTCGTGCGCCCCGTACAAAAACGTAACCGGAAGATCCGCGGGCGTCCTCTCCACGACGGGCCCGATCTCCGTCCGCGCCTGCCCGAGCGGTTTCAACAAGAGCGACATCGAACGCTCGGAGACGCCGCGCATCATGATAACCCCCGCGGCGTACTCCACGAGCGCGTCGAACGCGTTCGCGTCGCCGTCTAAAAACTCGAGCGCGCGCCAGCGTCTGGTCGCGTATCCGCGCACGGCGCTCGGGGACCATCGAAACGGCAGCGCGCGCGCGAACGCCTGCGGCGTCGCGCCGGCGTTCCAGAGCACCGTCGCGACCGCCCAGAAGAACCGGTGTCGCAGGCTTCGGCGCTTGAACGCGGCGATCCTCGCCGGGTCCGCCGCCTTCACGCCTGCCGGGCCGGCTAAGACGAGACCCCGGACGCGGTCCGGGTGCCTGTCCGCGTAGTGCGCGGCGATGAGCCCGCCCATGCTGTCGTTCCGATCAAAAAAAGTTCGTTCACCGGTCAGTTGAAAGGGGACGCGATCAAATGTTGAAACCGAACGATGGGTGAAAAACTTTTGTATAGAACGCACCTGTGCCCGAGCAGGACGAACGCGCCGTCCGCGCCGAGCCGCGCGCGCCTCCACGCCTCTAACCCGTCCACGAAGTACTCGATCGCCTCGTCCTCGTTCGTGGGCGGGAATTCTCCGCGCGGGCGGCCGCTCATCCCCGCGCCGCGCCAGTCCACGAGGTGCGTCCGCCCGAGTTTCATGTCGCCGAGCGCGGCGATGTTTTTGAAGAAGCAGCCGCCTCCGTTGGCGAAGCCGTGGACGAGGACGAAGTCCACGCCGCCCGTCGCGTCGCCGTTCACCGTCACGCTGTGCACGACGTCGTCGGGTTTAGACGTCACGGGGGTGTCGTGCGCGACCCATTTCAGGCCCTGCGTCGCGGGGGGAGAGGGGGGGAGCGGACGGGTGACGTCGCGTCGGGAGGAGGAAACGCATTGACGAAAGGTCGCGTCATCGTGTCGCGGTCTGATGAGGGGTCAGGTCGAGCGAACGCACCCGGTCCTTCAGGAGGTGGTCGAACAGCGCGGACTCGTTCGCGAGGCACTGCTTCCGCGAGTACGAGAACCCGGCCCAGAGGCGCTCGGCGAGGCCGAGAACCCGGCCCATGGCGGGCGGTGCGCCGCGGACAGTGACGATGAGAGATGTAGGCAGACGCGTGTTAAAACTACGACCTGGATCAGCTGTTCGTTATCGAGCGCGCTGCCTCATCACTCGCGCGCGGCGCACCGCGAGGGCGATGGCGACCGGGAAGCCCCTCCCCGCGGCCCTGAAGCGCGAGCTTCAGGGATGGTACATCTACGACTTCGCGAACAGCGCGTTCTTCCAGAGCGCGGGCGCGGTGCGTCCGATCTCGTCGCGCGCCCCTTCCCAGGGTGCCCACCCAATAACGACACGACCACGGTCTTCTGATCTCATCCCGCGCTTCGTCCGTCTCTCCCTCCCTCGCGTCGCCCCCCACCCCACCAGGTCTTCATCCCGCTGCTCGTGGACGCGATGGCGACGGAGTACGCGTGGCACCGCCAGGGCGCGAGCCGCCCGGAGACCTGCGCCGACCTCGCGGACGCGGGCGAGACGCAGACGAACTGCCTGCGATGCGTCGAGGGCGACGGCGACGTCCTCGTCACGGCCAACGCGGACGGCTCGGAGACGCACGCGGAGCTCGACGTCCTGAAGCTCCCGGGCGGGATCAACCCGACGAGCTTCCTCTTCACGTGCATCGCGCTGAGCGTGTTGTTCCAAGCCATCGCGTTCGTCACTGTCGGCGCGCTCGGGGACTTCGGGAACCACCGGAAGCGAGGGCTCGTCGTCTCCGCGACGACGGGCGCGATCGTCACGTGTTTCTACGTCGTGCCCCCCGCGAAAGAGGACGGGTCCCTGTACTGGCTCGGCGGCGTGCTCATCATCATCGCGAACGTGTGCCTGGGCGTGAGCGTCGTGTTCTACAACAGCTATCTGCCGCTCATGGTGGACGACGCGCCCGCGGTGTCGGAACTCGAAGCCGCCGCCGCCGCCGCCGCCGCGACCGCCGCCGCGGAGTCGGGGGGCGGGGGCGGGGGCGGGGGCGACGACGACGACGACGACGCCGACGCGTTCGAGACGGGCGCTCGGGAAGCGACGCGCGCGGCGCAGGAGGTGGTCGGGAGCGAGTACAGCGGCAAAGGGCAGGCGTGGGGATACGTCGGCGGTCTCGCGGCGTTGACGCTGTCTCTTCTGATCGCCGTGGCGATGATCTCCGCGGGCGCGTCCACGTGGTGGGCGCTCGGCGTCGGCGCCGCGCTCAGCGGCGTGTGGTGGCTCGTCTTCGGGATCGTCTCGTTTCGAAGGCTCCCGCCGCGCCCGGGCCCGCCGCCGCCCGAGGAGTACCGCGGCGCGAGGCTGCTCTTGATGGGGTGGATTCGCACCGCGACGCTGTTGAAAAAGGTGTGGCGCAAGTCGCGGCCGACGGCGCACTTCCTCGCGCTGTACTTCGTCTTCAGCGACGGGTACTCGACGATCGCGACGGTCGCCATCTTGTTCGCGTCCAGGGAGCTCTGCATGTCCGTCGTCGAGCTCGCGACGTTGGCGGTCATCGTGCCTCTGTGCGCGGCGGCGGGCGGGTACCTGTGGATGCGGTTCAAGGCGCGTTCTATACACTGGTCCCCATACGACCCCGTTCGCGTGGTGAACGCCGATCCTTAAGGACTTTTCTCGGCGTTCCTCTCCGCCCACCCCTCGCTTCCGATCCCCGCCCTCGGCGCCTTTCAACTCCAACTGACGCCTTTCAACTCCACCCCGACAATCGCTTGTATGGAACGGCCCTAAGGCGCGAGCGAAGTGGTCGAACAAAGCCGTGCTGGTCTTGAACCTGTTCCTGCTCTCGTGGCTCCCGCTGTGGGGGTGCGTCGGGTTCTTCTCCGACGACTTCGGCCTGCGGACCAAGTCCGAGCTGTACGTGCTCGCCGTGTGGTTCGGCGCGATGCTCGGAAGCGCGCAGGCGTACGGCCGCGCGCTCTTCTCGGAGCTCATCCCGGTCGGTCACGAGGCGGACATGTTCGCGCTGTTCGAGATCACGGACAAAGGGAGCTCGTGGCTGGGGCCTCTGGTCGCGTCGCTCGTGCTGCAGTACACGGGGAAGGTGCGGCCGGTGCTGATATACTTGTTGGTCGCGATGGTCATCCCCGCGGGGCTGCTGCATCGGTTGGATCTGAGGGAGAGCATCAAAGCCGCGCGGCATCCGAAGGCGGGAGAGGGTGTCATGGAGGGAGACGACGACGACGACGACGACGACGGCGGCGGCGGCGGCGGCGAGAAAGCGAAAGCGCGATGTTAGGAGTATCATAGACGAGATGTTGGTTGGCGTGTTTTTGATGACGAATGGCCTCAGAGATCGTCGTCGTCCGCGCCGTTTTCCTCGGCGTCCTCCGCGTCTTCCATGTCGTCCTCGTCCTCCGCGTCGTCGTCGTCGTCCCCGTCCGGGTCTTGCCCCTTCAACATCCGCTCCACTCTCGTCATCCCCCGCGCGGCTTCCTCGCTCCCGGGGGACAGCGTCAGCGCCTGCTGGTACGCCCCGAGCGCGTCGGCGAGGAGCTTGGACGCCGCGAGCACGGCGCCGAGCTTGCACCGCAGCGCAACGGCGACGGCGACGTCCGCGGGGGCGTGCCGCTCCAGATGCCTCCTCAACACCCCCGCCGCGGTGTCGTGCCTCCCCGCGTCCGCGTGCACGTCGCTCAGCGCCATCGCGACCCCGGCGTCGGACGGATCGAGCTTCAGCGACGCCTCGTACGCGCGTCGCGCTTTATCCGAGGACCCCTCGATCGGCGACTTTCGATGCGCATCGCCGACGAGCGACGCCGCCGGCGCCGACGCCGGCGCCAACCGCGTCGCCTCCTTCGCCGCCGCGAGCGCTTCCTTGTACCTCCCCGTCAGCGAATACGCGGCGACGACCCCCGCGTGCGCGTACGTGCGCGACGGCTCGAGCGCGGCCGCGCGCTTGAACGCCCCGACCGCCGCGTCGTTCCTGCCCAGACGCAGGCACAGCGTCCCCTTGACGAGGTGCGCGTCCGCGCGTCGGTCGTCGAGTCGAATCGCGCGCTCCGCGTGCGCGAGCGCCTTGTGCGGCTCTCTCTTCGCCGCCCAGTACGTCGCGGCGGCCGCCCACGCCTGCGGCGACTCCGCGTCCGCGGCCATCAGGTCGTTCACGAGCGCGGCGAGCCGCGCGGACGGCTCGCGGCGCGCGGGCGCGAACGCGACGGACGACAACACGCCGAAGCCAACCTTCTCGCCGTACTCCTCGCGCGTCGCGTCGTTCTCGTCGCTCTCGTCGCCGTCGTGCTCGCACAGCAGCGCGGCGTAGATATCCATCCCGTCCACGCCGTGCGGGTCCATCGAATGCGCGCGCTCGAACGCTCGCACGGCCGCGGGGACGTCCCCGGCTGCGGCGGCGGCGACGCCTGAGGGTCGTTCCATACAAAGCGATGGCGGGGTGGATGTGAAAGGCGTCAGATGGAGTTGAAAGGCGTCGATGGCGGGGATTGAACGCGAGAGGTGGTCGGAGAGATGCGCCGGGCAAAGTCCTTAAGGATCGGCGTTCACCACGCCAACGAGGTCGTATGGGGACCAGTGTATAGAACGCGCCCGAGAGCGTCGTCGCGTGGACGTCGTCTGGGTACGTCTTGGCCATCGCGCCGAACGCCGCCTTGGCGTCGCGCGCGGCGTCCGGGCGTCCGAGGAGCGCGTGCGCGCGCGCGAGCCTGGCGATGTACTCGACCGCGACGTCGGAGCCGGCGACGGTTGACGTTCCGTCTTCTGGTGCGACGATCGGGGCGGGGAGGAAGGATCGGAGTTCCTCCTCGGGCGTCCCCATCGCCGCGAGGGACGCGTACGCCTCGGTCGCGTACGGGCACTGTCTCAGACACTCCTTGAAGCACGCGACGGCCGCGCGCTCGTACCCGGTGCGTTGGTACGTCTTACCGAGCGCGAGGGTTATGGGGAGCGACCGCGATCGCGAAGGGATCGTCTCCAGCTCCGCGAGCGCCGCGCGCCACTCGCGGAGTTCGAGGTGGCATCTCCCGATCTTAAACTTGAGCTCGGCCTCGACGACGCCGCCGCCGAATCCGCCGCGCGACGCGGGAGGCGTGATCGCTCTCCCGTCCGCGCCGTAGCTCGGCGTCACGGGCGCGGCGGACGCCCCCGCGCCCGGCTGCGCCGGCGTCCTCGGCGCCGCGGACGCCTCCGGCGTGGACGCTTCCGTCTCCATCGCGCTCCCCCCCTCTCCTCCTCCTCCTCCTCCTGCTCCGACCGAGGTCGCGTCGTCCGCGACGCGCGCGAGCTCGACCGCGCGTCGGTAGTGCGTCAGCGCGCGTCGATACTCGCGCTTCCCGAACATCGCGTCCGCGAAGAGCGTCGCGTGCACCGCGCGCAGCGACGGCGGGACGCGCTCACCGCCGGGCCCCGACGCGGACGCGACGAGGAATCCGGCGAGGTGCTCCGCGCTGTCGAACAGCCGGTTCGCGAGGAGATCTTCCACCTGCGCGCGCGCGCGCGTCAGCGACGCCGACGTCATCGCGACGCGACGACGACGGGACGTCGCGTCGGCGACGGCGAGATCGCGCTGCTTCTCGGTCGCTCGCTCGCCGGCGCGGTCCGTTGTGCGGCGCGTCGCCGCTGCCCGGCGCGTCGCGTCCGAGAAATCGGGAGTCGGCACGTTCCGTTTGAACGAACGAAGTCAGGTGCGTTCTACAACTATACATTAGTTTTTCACCCATCGCTCGGTTTCAACACTTGATCGCGTCCCCTTTCAACTGACCGGTGAACTGTATAGAACGCACCTCAGCAACGCATCAACGAACGGGAAAGTTTTCCTCCCTGCGTGCCGAAAGTCTTCGCCGCCATCGCCAGTCCGTCCCCGCGCGCCGCGCCGCCGGCCGCGCGATGCCGCCGAAGAAGGACAAGGCGAAGCTGAAGAAGGGCTCGAGCTCCAGCGGCAGCGCGGAGGGCCCGCTCGTGCAACTGAGACCGTCGGAGATCCTGTACACGTACAGCAAGGTCCTCCCCTACTTCAGCGGATGCGGGCGAACGCTGCGGCACACGCTCGAAGAGATCGCGCGCGGCGCGATGCGTCCGAGCGACCTCCCCGCCATCGCGGTGATATCCGCGGAGGTGCCGAGCGCGACCGGGACGTCGGACGCGCGCGATACTCGCGCGTGTGGCGATAAGGGGCCCTCCCACGACGGGTGGTCCAGCGACGAGGACGGCGGGAAGCGCGGCGGAGGCAAGCGCGGAGGTGGGAAGCGACGCGGCGGCGGCGACAGGCGCGACGAGCGGAAGCCGAGCGACGAGAAGGTGGTCAAGTACTTCAGCACGAATAACCGACGGCTGTGGGTGCTTCGCGAGTGCGAGGCGAGGGGGCTGCTCGGGCCGGAGGGGACGATCGGCGTCAGGCTGCAGCGCCCGGACGTGAGCAAGAGGATGGTGGAGAAGGGCACGCGGAGCTTCCGTCTGGAGCGGTGCACGGACAAGGTGACGCTGGTGAAGGCGAGCGAGCCGAATAAAACCGAAGACGGCGACGACGGCGACGGTGGCGACGACGACGACGACGCGCCGACGGACGACGCGAAGGACGACGACAACGGCGGAGGCGACGGCGCCGCGGTGGACGACGTGAACGAAGGCGTCGCGGCGATGCGGGTGTGAACGCGCGGATCGAATCGACAATCGACGCGTCGCGCTCATCGTCCGGCGTACGAGTACGAGTAATACCCTCCTCCGCCGCCGGCGCCGCACGCGACGCCGCCCGCCTGCTGGTCCAGATACTCGTTGCACGGCGTCCCGGGCTGACACTTCGTCCCGCCGTTCGTGCACGGCGCGCCCTGCACGCCTCCTTGCGCGCACCCGGACGGACAACACGGGTCGCGAAAGGCACCGCCGGGGATGCCCGCCTCGGGGCAGTTCGGCGGTTGCGGCGGCGGTTGCGGCGGACGCGGCGGGTTGGGATACGGGTACGGCAAGAACACGTACCGCGGCGCCCAGAGGAACGGCCACAGCCACCACCCGAAGAACCTTCCGTTCGGGTCAGTCGCGTTCGTCGTCGCGTTCGCGCCCGCGCGCTCGGAAACGATCGCCGCGCCCTCGGTCCTCGTCGCGACGGCTTCGCGAGGGGTCGCGGCGGCGCCGGCTCTCGCCGTCGCCGTCGGCGTCGTCGGCGTCGGCGCGGCGGCCGAGGGGGACGCGGCGACGACGACGACGAGCGCGCACGCGACGACCGCTCCCGCGATGGACCGAGCGAAGTGCGACGACGGCGCGCGGCGTGGCATCGCGCGCGACGGGACTGCGCGCGACGACGGAACGGACGAAGAGGAACCTCGGGCGTTTCGAGCGCGAGCCTCGGAAGTCAACCTCGGAATTTAGGAGTCAACCTCGGAGACGCGAACGCTGACGCGCGCGCGCGATAGATAGACTAGCTACGTACACCTAGTGACCTCAACGCGATCAAAACGCGTTCACCGCCGCCGCCTACCTCCCCACGCCGCCCACGCTGAGATGTTTCACCTCGAGATATTCCTCGATCCCGTGCTTCCCGCCCTCTCTCCCCGTCCCGCTCTCTTTCACCCCGCCGAATGGCGCGGACGCGGCGGAGACGACGCCCGTGTTCGCGCCCACCATGCCGTACTCGAGCTTCTCGCTGACTCTCCACACCCTGGCGTTATCGTTCGTGTACACGTACGCCGCGAGTCCCGCGGTCGTGTCGTTCGCGAGCGCGATCGCGTCTCTTTCGTCCGCGAACGACGTCAACGCGGCGACCGGGCCGAAGACTTCCTCGCGGAAGAGCGACGCGTCGCGCGGGACGTTCGCGAGCACGGTGGGGGCGTAGAAAACGCCTTTGTCACAGCCGTTTTCCGTGACGCGGTGGCCGCCGCACAGCACCTTCGCGCCCTTACTCAGCGCGTCCGCGACGTGCGCCTCCACTTTCGCTAACGCCCTCGCGTTGATCAGCGGTCCTTGATCGGTTTTGCCTCGTAACCCGTCGCCGACGACGAGCTTTCGCGCCGCCGCCGCGAACTTCGCGCCGAACTCGTCGATCACGTCTTCGTGCACGATGTACCGCTGCGACGAAACGCACGTCTGTCCAGCGTTACGAAACTTGCTCCCCATCGCCCCCTTCACCGCCTCGTCGATGTTCGCGTCCTGGAACACGAGAAACGGCGCGCACCCGCCGAGTTCCATGGACGTTCGCTTCACCGTCCCCGCGCAGTCCCGCATCAATTTTTTCCCAACCGCCGTGCTCCCGGTGAACGACAGCTTTCGGACGATCTCCGACCCCGTCATCGCCTCCCCGATCGCGTTCGCGTCGCCCATCACGAACCCCAACACCCCTCTCGGGATACCCGCTCGCGCCGCCAACTCCGCGAGCGCGAGCGCGGACAGCGGCGTCTCCTCGGAGGGCTTGACGACGACGACGCAACCCGCGGCGAGCGCCGCGGCGGCTTTCCGCGTGATCATCGCGAGCGGGAAGTTCCACGGCGTGATCGCCGCGCACACGCCAACGGGCTGCCGAAGCGCGAAGACGCGCGCGTTCGCGTCGTGCGTCGGGATGACCTCGCCGTAGGTCCGTCGCCCTTCGTCCGCGAACCAGTCGATGAACGACGACGCGTACGCGACTTCGCCGCGCGCCTCCGCGAGCGGTTTGCCCTGCTCGGCGCACATGATCCGCGCGAGGTCCGAGGCGTGCGCGTTCACGAGGTCGCCCCAGCGGCGGAGCGCCTGCGCGCGGACGATCGCGGTGGTGGCCGACCACGACGGGAGCGCGGCCGCCGCGGCGTCGATCGCGGCGCGCGTCTCCGCGGCGCCGAGCTTCGCGACGGAGACGAGCGTCTCCCCCGTCGCGGGATTGACCACGTCGAACGTCGCGCCGCCGCCGTCGCCAAGCTCGGCGCGCGTCCACGCGTCCGCGATGAAGCCCTCGTCGCGGAGGAGCGACGCGTCCGCGACGCCGATGCGCGCCGCGAGCGCGGCGCACGCGTCCGACGGCGGCGAGGGCGACGAGGTGGACGACGACATCGCGCGAGCGGCCGCGAGAGCGGACGACGCGCGAGCTCTCTCGTTATCCGACGTGATGAGAGTGCCGAGTGGACGACCGCCGAGGGAAGGCTGCGGATCGCTCCGGGTGGAGACGGCGGCGGCGAGCGGACGCCGGGTGAACGCGACGCGTCGAACCGTGGAAGGATCCAGGAGCCGGCGCAGCATCTCCCGACGACGCGGCGGGCGTCGTCGCGCGGCGCGGTGTGCCGCCGACGACGCGCGGCGGGGAGAGGTCTCGCGCGCGTCGTTCGTCGAATCGCGTCAAGTCTCGGGTTTCACGCTCGACGCGACGCAACGCTTCGCCTCCCGCGACGACGCGTCGTCCGTCGACCGAGCGTTTCCCGAGGCGGCTCGCGCGCGTCGCGCGTCTCACACGCGCGCGCGCAGAACCTCTCGAGCAGACAGACGCACCTCGCCGCGACGTTCCATCGACGAAGATGGTGAAGATCAACGTGCGTCCCCAACGCGCGACGCGCGCGAATCCCCCGCCGTCCTCCGCGCGTCGCGTCGTCGTCGCCCGTCCACCATCGCGAAAAACGCCCTCTCGCATTCCGACGCGTGACCCGCCCTCCACGCTCCCGCGCCTCCCCGTCCGCCCCTCCTCCTCGACAGGACCCCACCGAGAAGGAAGAAGAAGAGAAGAAGGACTGGACGCACGCGTACGCGGAAGACCTCCGCGCGGATATCTACACCGAGGTCAACCCGTCCCCGAAGGCGACCGTGCACCAGCGCGAGTGGAGGAAGATTCTGAACGGCGACCCGGTCGAGATCAACCCCTCCGTCGGCGCGGGGCTCAAGGTGATGACGATCAACGAGTGGTCGTCGCGATGGAAGCAGAACGATCGGTTCCCGGACTGCCTCGCGTGCCAAAGCGTCTCCACGAAAGAGCATCACTTCACGCAGACGTGGTGCCGCGGGAAGCGACAGTTCGAGTCCGAGCTCCTGTGCTCGGACTGCCACATGTTCTCGTGGCGGTCGTACAGCGATCCGGATTTCATGCTGCCGGAGGAGTACGATAAGATTCGCTGGGAGAAGATGGTGGAGGCGAAGGCGACCGGGAAACCGATCGTTCGCGACTCCGCCAAGGCGCACGCGTAGATCGATGGACGGATCGGTCGCGGCTGCTCGTGCGCGCTCTCGCGACGGCGAGCGAACGCGTCTTCTCTCCCGCGATTATGATTTCTCATTTGTCGTCAGTCACAGATTCGACCGCTACTGCGAACGCGATAGAACGCGCGCTCTTCTTCCTACGCCACCCACCCCCCGACCCACCCATCGCGATAGATAGTCTACGATATCGCCCGCCCGAACCGAACGCGCGACTACTTCTTCTTCCTCCTGTCGTTGTTCTCTTTGATCTTGACCCGCCGTCGGAGCTTCAAGAGCCTCTGGATGTCCTTCACGTCCATTATGTCGTACCGAGGGCCTTTCCCGTCCGCGAGCGACTGCTCGTGCATCGCCTTCGCGGCGGCGACTTCGTTCTCGAGCTGCCGGAGCGTCTTCCGCGGCTCCAACAGCGTCCACAGCCAGTCCGGGTAGGACTCGTCCGGGCCGAACTCCGGGTCCGACCCCGTCTTTTTAAAGTTGATCCCCGCGGCGTGCGTCGGCGCGCTCGTCGCTTTCGGCTCCTCCTTCTTCGCCGCCGCGGGCGCGGCTTTCGTCTTCGCCTTGGCGTACAGCGCGCTCGCGGGCGCGACGAACGCGCGCGTTTGCGACGCGAGGAGCGAGGAGAACAGACCGCCGGACGTGCTCGCGGCGGACGCGGCGGCGATCCGAAGGAGCGCGCTCATCGCGTGTATCTGATATTTTCTAGGGTTGCGTCGAGACCGACGACGCGACGCCCTCCTCCTTCCCTTCGCGTCCTCGCGCGCGGCGAGGGGCGGCGGGACCGACGCGCCGCGGGCGGTCGCGCGCGCGGACGATCGGACGATCGACGCGCGGTCGCGTGCGCGATACCGCCGCGGCCGCGTGCGACGGGATGTGAACGGATCGCGCGGGGCGATCGCGCGGTTCACGGCAGTAGAGCAGGAGGAAGAAGCGGGTCGGTCTGAAATATGTGTAATGTCGCCGGCGGCGCGCGCGCGTCGCGCGCGGATCGCTATCGTGATTGTATATTCAGAAAAGAAGCGCGCCCGCCGCCCGCCGCGCGCCGCGCTTTCGACCTCCCTCCACCCCCACTCCGCGCCCAGTGGCCTCCAGTCAGAACGTCCCCTGATTCGACAGCAGCACGAGCAGCCCTTGCTTCCCTAGGAGGATCTCGTTCATGAACGATATCATCCCGACCCAGATGATCGGACTCACGTCGACGCCGCCGACGGGCGGGACGAGCGCTCTGGTCGGCTTCAACAGCGGCTCCGTCGGGACGTACGCGATCACCCACGGGAGCTTCGTGTACGGCACGCTCGGGTACCACGTCATGACGATTCGCACGATGAACGCCACCGTGCCGAGCGCGAAGAACGGCCCGAGGACGCCGGCGACGGTTTTCGCCGTCTCCGGGTCGAGGGGATCTTCGTTCACCGCGAGCTCGAACAGCGCGCCGTGCAGCGCGTTGGACGCGGCGGCGAGCTCGGGGGAGGATTCCGCGGCGGACGCGGCGGACGCGAGCAACGCCGCGGGCGCGGCCTGGGCGCGAGCGAGGAGGAAGGGGGCGTCGGAACCGGAACGTTGGAATGAATGTACGCGAGCGTCGGAAGCGAGGGCGGAGCGGAGGTTCCCTGGGGTCCCGAAGACGTCGACGACGACGACGCGGGCGGGTCGAGATCGACGGTAAGGCGCGCACCGCGATCGTCGCGAGCGCGGCCGCGCGTTTCCCTTCCCCGGAGGACGCGCGGACGGCGATCGTCGCTCCCCGGCTCGTCGCGCGCGTTCGCTCGCGCGCGCGGAGAGGCGCGAACGACGCCGACGCGCGCGACGACGTCAAGGCGCACGTCATCGTCGTTTTTCCTTCTCCGTCGCTCCCTCCTTCCCCGCGCGGCGTGTGCTGCGCGCGTCGACCGTGTCCTCGCGCGTGCGCGACGCGGCGTGCGAATGCGCTCGTGCGGCGCGCGTGCTCGTGCGAGCGCGAGTGGTGGAACGTCCGCGGCGTGCGCGCGCGCGCGTGAGTGCTCGCGAGCGGCGCCGAGCAGGCCTACGTGGCCGACGACGGCGGGTCGGTCTGTCAAGATCATGCAGGGTTATGGGTTTGTCGAACAGCGTCCGATGTTCTGTTTCGTCGCGCCCCCAGCGTCCTCGCGCGCGCCACTCGTCGACGCGCGCGTCGCGAGGCGGCGGATTCTTTCTCCCGAGGGACGAGTCACGCATCGCGCGCGCGCTCGCGGACGCGAACCCGGCGAGACGCGGTCGCGGGCGAGAGCGCGCGCGGCAGAGAACGCGGCGCGGCGCGTCCTTTCGGAAAGACGGGGGGGGGTTCGGGTTATTGAGAGAGCACGCGATGGCGAAAGTGGAGAAGATGACGGAGAAGGACTTCTTCACGGAGTACGGCGAGGCGAACCGATTCACGATCCACGAGGTCGTCGGTAAGGGATCTTACGGCGTCGTGTGCAGCGCGACGGACAACAAGACCGGGGAGAAGGTGGCGATCAAGAAGATCACGGACGTTTTCGAGCACGTGAGCGACGCGACGCGAATCTTACGCGAGGTGAAGCTCCTGCGCGTGCTGAAACATCCGGACATAGTCGAGGTGAAGCACATCGTGCTGCCGCCGAACCCGCGGGAGTACAAGGACATCTTCGTGATATTCGAGCTCATGGAGACGGACTTGCATCAGGTCATCAAGGCGAACGACGACCTGACGCACGAGCATCACCAGTTCTTTCTGTACCAGGTGCGACGCACAGCTGTGCGCGTCGAGGCGGAGTTTAACATTTTCCGACCCCGTCGTCGGACCCCGCCCCGTCGATGATGCTTTCCTTTCCCGACACGACACTCGAGACCGCGCGCTGACGACTTCACCACCACCCCTCTCCTCGATTCGTTCCCGCGCGCAGCTCTTGCGAGGTCTCAAGTACGTGCACACCGCGAACGTGTACCATCGCGACCTTAAACCTAAAAACATCTTAGCCAACGCGGATTGCAAGCTGAAAATCTGCGACTTCGGGCTCGCGCGGCCGGCGTTTCAAGACAGCGGCCCGACGACGATCTTCTGGACAGACTACGTCGCGACGCGTTGGTACCGCGCGCCGGAGCTGTGCGGGTCGTTCTTCACGAAGTACACCCCCGCGATCGACATATGGAGCATCGGGTGCATCTTCGCGGAGATTTTGAGCGGTCGGCCGCTGTTTCCGGGGAAGAACGTCGTGCACCAGCTCGAGATCATCACCGACCTGCTCGGAACGCCGAAGCCGGAGATCACGGCGAAAGTGAGGAACGAGAAAGCGCGGCGGTTTCTCGCCAACATGCGCGTCAAGCCGAAGATTCCCCTGTCGCAGCGGTTCCCGAAAGCCGCCCCCGGGGCGCTCGCGATTTTGGATAAGCTCCTCGCGTTCGACCCGGACGAACGACCGACCGCGGAAGAAGCGCTCGCGGACCCGTACTTCGCGAACCTCGCGGACCCGGCGAGGGAGCCGGCCGCGGAGGTCATCTCGAGAGACGAGTACGCGTTCGAGAGCAAAAAAGTGACCCCGGAGGAGGTCAGGGAGCTGCTGTACTTGGAAATTTTAGAGTACCACCCGCAGGCGAAACGCGAGCACTACGGCGGCGAGCGCGCGTCGAATTTCACGTACCCCTCGGGCGCGAGCGGCGTGACCGCGGACTTCCTCGCCGCGGAGGCTGCCGCGGAGGGAGCGGGGGGGGTCGGCGGCGGCGGAAACGGCGCGGGCGGGGTGAAGCGAGAGTGGGCGCGGTCGCAGAGTTTACCCAAGGAGAGCGTCAACGCGTACAGGGACGAGGCGGCGGCGTTCGTGTCCGGCGCGGGGGCGCTGAAGCGATACGACAGCATCGCCGCGGACGGTTCGGGGGGTTCGGGGGGGAACACGAAGTCGGACATGGACGACATGCTCGACGAGGCCGCGGCGATGAGCTTGGACGATAAAGAGCTCGCCGCCGCCGCGGAGGAGGCGAGAAAGCTGATGGAGGAGAACTCGCGCGTTCGGCGTTGAAAGAGAGGGCGACGGGCGAGGGCGCGACGAAGTACGGTAACTAGCGCTCGCGTAACGCGCTCGCTTGCCAACTCGACTACTCACTCTATGCGCTGAAAGCGCGTCGTCGTCGCGTCGCGTCGCGCTCACATCACGACGCACTTGCCGCTCTTACTCTTCTTCTCGTGTTTGCTCTCGACGTGCGCGATGAGCTCGCCGAGGTCTTCGAACGACTTCCCGCAGATCGGGCACACCTCCCGAGCGCCGCCTAAACTCTCCCCGTGCGCGCCCGCGTTCATCGCCCTGGTGTACGCGCCGTGCGTCCCGTGCGTCCTCTCCGCGTGCGCGATGAGCGCGGCGAGGTGCGGGAAACTCTTCCCGCACGTCTCGCACACCTCTCGCTTGTTCTTCTGCTCCAACGTCGCGCTCGCGGGGCGGCCGCCGGCGACGCGCGCGCCGCTCCCGCCTCGGCTGCTCGGCCGCCCGGACGCCGACGCGCCGCCGCCGCCGCCTCTCACGCCGATTCCTCGCGCGCCCACCACCCCGCCGCCGCCTCTGCCGCTGCCGCTGCTCATCCGCCCCGACGCCGACCGACCCGCCCCCGCCGCGCCGCTCCTCATCATCCTCGCGCGCCTGTTCGCCTCGCAGTCGTGCAACCTCTCGTGGCGGTGCTTCAGGCACACCTCCGAGCCGCAGCTCCTGCACGTGTACGCGTTCACCGCGTTGAGCTTCTCTCTGCATCCTCTCGCCGGGCACCGACGCGCGCTCCGCGCGAGCGGGTGTCTCGAGGGATCGCACGACCCGCCCGAGGCGTGGCGCTCGTACGTGACGTGGATGGACTCCCCGGGGACGTGCTTGACGCCGCCGCCGCACAGCGGGCACACGACGCACGTCGTGTCCTGTGGATCGAGGAAGGGACGGGAGGAAGAGAGAAAGTGAGGGCGGAGTCCCGAGGTGAACGACGCCCCCGCGAGGAAAGCGACGGCGGGGGTGACGGTGGTGGTGACGGGGATCGTCGTCTCCGAGCGGTAGCGGCTCGGCAGCGAGCGCACCCGCTTTCCTCCCGCGCGGCATCCGTGGCTCGTCCTGTGCTCCAGGCAGAAGGTGCGATCGCACCCGTCGCAGTTGAATGGCAGGAAGTCGAGCTGCCCGCACCCGACGAACGAGCACTGCTCGCCGAGCTCGGGGAGCTCCATCAAGTCGCGAGGCCCCGGGAGGGCGGCGCCGGCGCCCCCGAAAATGACGTCTGTCGAGCTCCGCTCGTAGTCGCCAACCGTCGTCGCGTCGCCCGCCCGAACCACAGATCCGGCCGCGCGCCGACGGCTCGCACCGCGCGCGACCTCGCGATCGCCGTCGCCGCCGCCGCCGCCGCCGCCGCCGCCGCGCGTTCGCACCGCGTTCGCACCGATGGGCGTCCGGCGCAAGCCCGCGGGGGCGGACGCGCGCGTGCTCAACCTGGGCGAGACGGACACCGCGGAGGACTACGGACCGACGCGGCGACGGCAGACGACCGCGTTCCTCCCCGCGGACGTCGCGACGGACGAAGCGTACGCGAAGCAGGTGGAGTACGTCACCGAGAGCGAGAAGATATGCGGCGGCGGGGTGTACCAGCACAACAGCGCGGGGTGCGCGGACGACGCGGGCGCGTACGCGGAGATGGAAGAGGAGAACGCGCGGTCGAGAGAGGCGGAGAGGCTGCGGACGTCGAACGAGGCGTCCGCGCTCGCGCGCATGCGCGCCGCGCGGGACCGAGCGGACGAGGAGGCCGCGGCGAGGCGCGCGCGCGAGGGCGTCGCCGGCGCCGCGGGGACGCTGCGAGGCGGCGGCGCGGGCGGCGCGAGGAAGGAGACGAAGCCGATGGCGATCAAAGTCGTCAAGAGGAAAATAAAGTCGACGGAGACCGCCGAGGACGCGGGGGGGGAGGGCGCGAAGGCGGCGGGGAAGGACGAGCGCGATGCCGCGGCCGATGACGCCGCCGCCGCCGGCGGCGGCGACGACGGCGACGACGACGCGACCGGTTTGGGCGGGTTATTAGGCGGGTACGGGAGCGGCACGGACGACGACGACGACGACGCCGACGCCGCCGCCCCCGCCGCCGCCGCCGCCGCCGCGGCGAAGGAGCACGACGCGTCGAAGCGAACGGAGGAGTCGAAGCGAAGGGCGGAGGAGGACGCGACGAAGGGATCGGCGAAGACGGCGAAGACGGCGGCGGCGGCGAATTCGCTGAGCGCCAAGGGGAAGGCGTATTGGGAGAGGTACTACGTGGAAAAGTACGGCGGAGGGTCGAGCGGCGCCGCCGCGGCGGCGGCGGCGCCGCCGCCGCCTGTCGCGGAGACGAAACCCGCCGCGTCCGCGAAGAGCGAACAGCCTCCTCCGAAGAGCGCGACGGACTGGACGAAGTACTACGCGGAGAAGTACGGTCTGTAGGCGACGGCGGAGAGGTGGGGGTAGGCGTTCACGCGTACTGTAGGTAGACGACGGACGACGAGAGCGGTTGTTAGTTGATCTGATGAGACTCGGCGTTCGCGTTCGTCGCTCTTCACTTTTCCTCGCGCGTCGTCATGGGCAAGTCCGGGAAGAGCCCCGGCGGCGGGAGGGCGCCGCCGACGGAGAAGACGACGAGCCCGTGGCCGTCGGACGTGACCTATCTCACCTCGCTGCACTACGGCGATGACGTGAAGCGCGCGAAGGAGATATACGCCAAGTACCGCGTCTCCGGGGACGACCCCATCCTCGCGAGCGCAGCCTCGACGAAGAAGATCGCGCGGTGGCAGCGCATCGTGGACGCGAACCACCCCGCGCGCGGCGAGCACGGACTCTTCGCGAGCCGCAAGCTCGAAAGAGGCGAACGCATCGTGGACTACCTCGGGCACGTCTCGCTGCGAGGGAACGAGTCGCAGACGAGCGATTACACCGCGTCGTTCGGCGACGCGCACGAGCTCGCGCTCGACGCGGAAAAGATGGGCAACGAAGCGCGCATGATCAACGATTTCAGAAACACGGGAAAGAGAGCGAACGCGCTCTTCGATCAGTACGTGGACGCGGCGGGGGACACGAAGCTCGGCGTGTTCGTGGGACCGCACGCGATAGGTAAAGGCGAAGAGATCTTAGTGTCGTACGGCAAAGGGTTCTGGAGGAACCGCGTCGGAGACATGTCCGCGTTCACCGGGCACGACGAGTGAACGGAGCGTCTACGAGCTACTTTCACTAGCTAGGAAGCCGCAGACGACGGACGCGCGAGATAGATAGAGACGTAGACGTAGACGTAGCGCACGCGCCTTAGGTAGAACACCCACCCAGAACAGCTACTAGTCCGAGTCGCTCTCCTCCTCCTCGCTGTCGTCGTCGCTCTCCTCGTCTGCGTCTTTGAGCCAGTCCACGAACGGCTGCGCGAGCTTTAAAAACCGCCTGTCCTCCTCGCTCGCGTGCGCCTTCTCCTCCGCCCACGCCAACACGCTCACCTCGGACAACACGTCGACGTCGTACAACATGTGAAGTATCTTCGCGAACGCGGGGACGAGCAACCCGCCGTTCATGCCGCGGAACACCTCGTCCTCCGCGCAGTAGTCCTCCAGCGTCAGCAACATCTCCACCTGATCGTCCTCCGACTTGAGAAACCGCGTCAACAGCGGCGCCCACTCCTTGACGCGTTCGCGCACGGCTTTGACCGTCGCCGCCGCCCCTTCCGGCGCTCTCGCGGGGTACAGCTTCGCGTTCTCTTTCGCCACGTCGCGCGGCGCCGGCAGCGACAGCCCCAAGATGGTCATGAGGACGTACCGCGCGATGTCCGCGAACGTTCGGTTCTCCGCCATCTTCAACCCCTGCAACTCCACCACCGCGTTGGCCTGCGCGTACCCGTGCTTGACGCAACGCAAGAACGTCTCCGCGACTTCCTTCCGGAAGATCGCCTCGCCCTCGTCCACCCCGCCGTCGCTGGAGTCGTCGCCGACGTCGCCGTCGCCGTAAGCGACGCCCGCGGCGGCGTCGTCGCGGACGTGCGCGCGGTCGTCGTCGGAGTCTAACCCGTCGTCGACGTCGTAGGCTCTCGCGGCGACCCCCGCGGGCGCGGGCGCGACGCTGAACCGCCACTCGTCCTCCGCGCCGTACCGCGACGCGCAGTGCCACAGGTACCCGGCGCCGCCGGCGCCGACGCCATCGCTCGGCCACGGCGAGTCGGCTGCGCTCAGAGTCCCCGCTTTCGCGCGGTCCAGCGCGGCTTTCTCCGCGTCGGAGAGCACGACGCCCGCGCCGCCCTCGCGAATGGCGCGTCCCGCCTCGTCTTCGCTGTCGTAGTCGCTCCCGACGCCGGCGCCGGCGCCGGCGCCGCCGCTCTGCGCGCCGAGTGACCCGAACCCGAACCCGCCCGCGCCCGCGCCACCGCTCATCCGCCGCGCGGACGAAGACGGCTCCGCGCTGCCGACGTGGAACGAGTCGTCGTCGCTGTCGTCGTCGTCGTCGCGCGGCTGCGACGCGAGCGACACTCTCGAGTAATCCGCCGCGACGGCGCCGGGACCCAACACGACGTCGTACGACAACACCGCGCCCTTGCCGACGACCGCGCCGTCGTGCACGACCGAGCCCTCGCATATCAGCGCGCTCGTCGTCTTCACGCGCTCTCCCAGGCGCACGCGCTCCTGGAGGTAGCTCCCGTCGACGACGCAGCCGGCGCCGACGACGACGCCGCGTCCGAGCACCGAGCGCGAGACGCGCGCGTCCTTCCCGACGACGCACCCTGCGCCGAGGACGACGCCCGGGCCGATCACCGCGCTCGGGTCGACGCGAACGTCGCTCTCCGCGTACGAGTGCGGCCACGCGTGCGAGTACGTCGTGTTCGCGCCGCGCGGCAGTGAGTTCACGTCGGGAACGTGCGGGTACGTCCATCGTCCGACGATGTCTCTGGACACCGCGTCGTAGGTCCGCAGGTTGTGCACCCTAGCGGCGTACTCCCGCGGGCCGAGCTCGTGCGCGTAGACGTTGTTTCCGAGCTCGCGCTCGTTGAGCGTCCCGCACACAAAGTCGCGGCGTATTTGCTGGTAATCGAAGTTGTCCGTGAAGAGATAGAGCACCTCCGGCGCGCACACATCGACGTGACAGTCGCGAAGATCCGTTCGCACCTCGACGTTGGGATGCTCGCTGAACAGGCTGGCGTCCAGCGACACCGGCGGCAGCTTCCGTCCGCGGTGTCCTTCCCCGGTGTCCTTCCCCGGCGACGGATTATCGTCGTAGTGCAGGACGCGCCCCACGGTCGGGTCCAGCGCGATGACGAGGTTGCTCTCGCCCGCGCGCTCTTCGCGTTGCCGCCGGTTGGATGCCTTGACGCACATCGTCATGATCGCGAGCTTCTCCGTCTTCCGTCGCTCTCTGTGCGCCTCGATCGCGCGTCGCAGGTCCATGTTCGCGACCGTGTCCCCGGACACGAGCACGAAGTCCCCGCGGATGACGTGCCGGTGGTCGATCAGCCGCATCGCTTCGCCCGCGCTGACGCAGTTGGTGGACACGATCGCGTGCACGACGAACCCGGGGATCGTGCTCCACGCGCTCTGCTCCAAGTACGCGGTGATCTGCGCCGCGTGCGCGCAGCAGAAGACGAACACCTCCTCCACGCCGTTGCTCGCGAGGAACTCCAGGGTGTACTCGATCATCGGGACGTTCACGAGCGGCAGGAGGACCTTCGGGCGCTCGAGCGTGATGGGGCGGAACCGCTGCGCGAACGAGTCCGCGAGGACGACCGCCTGGAGCGGGACCTTCGCCTTCTCCGCGTCTTTGCCTCGGTTCGGCATCGCGCGGGGTGGCGGAAGGGGGGGGGGTTCAGGATCAGACGACACGCGCGCGCGGAGCGGATCGATCGCGCGACCGGCGCGGGGCTCGGGCGCGGTGTCCTGAGCGGCTCCCGACGCGTCCCGACGACTGGCGAAGCGCGAGGCTCGATCTCGCGATTTAGGGCTCGAAGCGAAGAAGCCTGGAAGAACCTGACTGCTGGATCTCGACTTCTGTTCGTCGTGATGGACTTTTGAAGACTTGATCAAATAAACGCTCGGGGCGGCCGCTCGCGCGAACGCTCACGCCTCCCCCCCTCCCCCCCCGAGGCACTCGATCGCGTCCTCCAACACGACCTTCTTGTGCCGCCGGTACGCGATCGCGGACCGCGTCGCGTCCGCGACGCCGCCCCCGTCCCCGCCCCCCGGCGCCGATTCCGCCGCCGCCGATAGCAAATCGTCGTCCTCCGCGATCGTCGTCGGCATCGCGCGCAGAAGCTCCTCGCACCGCCGCGCGACGTCCGCGTGCGCGCTGTCGACGTCCACCCGCGCGAGCTGCCCGCCGGACCCCGCGTCCTGCGCGCCCTCCGTGCCCGCGTACGCGGCGGCGAACAGAGATATTAAGCGCGCGTCGCATCGTCCGCCGGGCAACACCTTCAGTCGCGGCTCGGACCGCGCCAACGCGCCGTCGCCGCCGTCGCCGAGCGACTTCTCCACGGACGCCACCGCGGCTCTCGCGGCCCGCTCGCGGACCGCGGCCTCGTCGTCGCCGCCGCCCTCCCACAGTTCCGGGTGGTAGACCATGTGCCACGACAGCGCGTGGTCGACGTCCGCGAAGACGATTACGTCGTCGTGCGGATTCCGCGGCGGGACGAAGCCGTAGTACATGAGGAAGTGGTCGTTGCTGCGCTCGCCGTAGCTCATGAGCGCCTCCTCTCCCGCGACGACGTCCCGCGTGGCGCTGAACGACACGAACCCGTCGTCCCCGAGCTCGCTCCACGCGATGTTGTCCACGCATCGCGACGGCGGCCACTTCGAAGGGACGGCGGCGGCGACGGTCGGCGTTCCGTCGATCGTCGAGTCGACGGCGGCGACGGTCGGCGTTCCGTCGATCGTCGAGTCGACGGCGGCGACCGACGAGTCGTCGTACTCGTCGCCGCCGTGGTTCAGAAGGTCCGCGAGAGGAAGCAACGCGCGGAAGTACCCCTCGCCGCTACCATCGCCGGACGCGATTCCGTACGTCCGCGAGTGCACGACGCTCACCGCCGCCTTGAACGCGTCGAGGTCCGCGCCCGCGAGCGCGTCCGCGCACTCGTTCGACAGTCTCGCGTGCCACGACGACACCGCGTCGCGCATCTCCGTCGCCTCCGTCACCGCGGGCGGGTACTGCAGCGCTTTCACGTCCTCCTCCGCGTACAGCAGCGGCGACCCGGGGACGGACTCCGGGACGAGCGCGAGGTAGGGTGCCCACTCCGAGTCGGCACCCTTCGCGCGCTCTTGAAGGAGCCGGCACGCGAGCCGCACGCCCCACGGCGCGTTGGACATCGTCTCCCACGCCGACGGCGGGTGCCCGTCCTGGTAGAACGTCGGGGTGGAGTTGAAAGGCTTCAGAAGCGGAGTTGAAAGGCGCCGAGGGCGGGGATTGAAAGCGAGGGGTGGGCGTAGAGAGACGACGGGAAAAGTCCTTAAGGAACGGCGTTCACCACGCGAACGCGGTCGTATGGGGACCAGTGTGATATAGAACGCGCCTGATAGTCGCAGATGCCCATCTCGAGCGGGAGGCACAGCACCGGCTCGCTCGCCTGCGACGCGACGCGACGCGACGGACGAACGACGGACGACGGGTGAGCGAGGCGTCGCGGGCGCGGCGGGAGGACGGTCGGACGGGGACCGACGTCGACGAGCGATCGAATCGACGCGGAGGAGACGGCGAGAGCGGTCGCGTCGCGTCGCGTCCGCGTCGCGACGCGCGCCACAACCCTAAACCCTCTCGCGCGACGAGAGCGAGATCGACGACGGACGGACGGACGGATGGACGTCGGGACGCGCACCTCGATGTCGCGGCTCGCTTCTAAGCCTCTCCCGCGACCGCTGCCGTCGGGCAGGAGCACGGAGAGACCGCTTCCGGTCGCGCCGCGCTCGACGCACCACCCGACGAGCGCGCCGACGGCGACGCGCTCCGCCTCCTCCTCTTCCGACTCGACGTACGTCGCGTCCGTCGTCGTCTCGGAGGATGACGACGCGGTGGACGCGCGCGCGAGTCTTCGGCCGCCGCGCCCTCGCGCGGCCGCGACCGCGCGGCGGCGCGACGCGCGCGCGCCCGCGCTCGCGGGCGATGCGCGCGCGGCCGTGGAAACGCGAACGCGAGCGGTCGTCGCCATCGCGAGTGCGGACGGCGACGGCCGCGGCGAGACGCTTTATCTGCTCGCTCCGACGAGACTGCTGGCGAGACGAGCAGAGCGCGCGATCTCGGGCATTGTTCGCTCGCGCCGAGGCGAGGGCCGCCCGGCGCGAGCGATGTCGTCGGCGGAGGAGGACGCCGACGCCGAAACGACCGCCCCGGCCCCATGGGGCGACCTCCTCGAGTTCCAGCGCGCCATCGTGGACGAGCTCGTCGCGCGCGACGGCCTGACCGTCCTCGCGGAGGGGCTCGGGCTGCCCGAGGTGCTCGCGGGCCTGATTCGCGCGCGTCACGCCTCGCGCGTCTTCGCGCGGTCGTTCGCGGACGGGCGAGAGGCGTTCCAGAGCCTCCTCGGCGACGGCGAACGCGACGACGTCGACGACGCGGCGACGCGGTCGGTGACGAACTGCGCCTCCGGCCCGGTCCTCATCGTCGGCGCGACGGACGCGCAGAAGCGCGCGACGAGGCTCCACCTCGCGGCCATCGCGCCCGAGACGCCGTTCCCCGCGGACGTCAACGCGGACTTCACCGGCGCGAACCGAAAGAAGATGTACGCGAGCGGGCCCACGGTGTTCATCACCACGCGGATCGCGGCCGTGGACTTGCTGACGGAGGACCGTCTCCCGCCGCGCGCCGTCGCGGGCGTCGTCGTGGTGAACGCGCATCGCGTGACGGATCTCTCCGGCGAGGCGTTCGTGATTCGCCTCTTCCGCGGCGGCAACCGCGTCGGGTTCGTGCGCGCGCTGAGCGACCGCCCGGGGGAGCTAATGCGCGGGTTCAACGCGCTCGAGCGCGCGATGAAAGCGCTCATGGTGCGCGCGTTGAACCTGTACCCGCGGTTTCACCTCGCCGTGAAGCACGACCTGGACGACCACGCGCCGGAGGTCGTGGAGCTGCATCAGCCGCTCACGAAACCGATTCGCTCGATACAAGACGCCATCGTGGAGATCATGGAACAGTGCATGTGCGAGCTCAAGAAGAGCAAGCACGTGGACGTCAGCGAGCTCAGCGTCGAGGCGGGGATGTTCAAGTCCTTCGACCGGACGCTGAGCCGGCAGTTGGACCCGGTCTGGCACGTCGTCCCGAGAAAGTTGAAGCAAATCGTGTACGACCTTCGGACGCTTCGGAACCTCGCGATGTACCTTTTACGGTACGACGCGGTGACGTTCTTGCGGTACTTGGAGACGCTGCGACTCGCGGAGGGGAGCCAGAGCATGTGGCTGTTCACCGACGGCGCGCACGTCGTGTTCGAGCAAGCGAAGCGGCGCGTGTACGTGCTGCAAAAACCCGGCGGCGGAGGCGGAGGAGGAGGAGGGAGGAACGCGAACGCGACGCCCGCGGGGCTCGGACCCGGCTCGGGCGTCGGCGCGAAACGCCCCGCGCCGGGCGACGACGACGACGACGACGACGATGATGATGATGATGATGAAATCGTCATCACCGGCGTGACCGGCGGGACGACGACCGCGGCGGCGGCGGCGGGGACGACCGCGACGGAGCTCCGGCCGATCTTAGAGCCGATGCCGAAGTGGTGTTTGATCGAGGAGATCGTCGTGGAAGTCGACGAGGACAGGGCGAAGTTCAAGGTAGCGATGGAGCGCGAGCTCAGCGCGGTCGCGAGCGACGGCGCGCTCGTGAACCTCACCGGCGAGGACGACGACGACGACGAGGACGAGGACGACGACGAGCGCGAGAAGGAACGCGCGGCGGCGGCGCGAGAAAAATACGCGCAGGGCCCGCTGCTAATCGTCGCGAAGGACGAACAGACGACGGCGCAGATCACGTCGCTGCTGTTGCTCGGCGCGGACGCGCTGATGGAGCGCTTATGGAACGACTACCTCGTCTCGAGAGACGGGCGCGTGGGGAGCGGCGGCGGCGGCGGCGGGTGGCGCGCGCGCGGGGCGAGGGGCGGGAGAGGGCGGGGACGCGCGCGCGGCGGCGGCGGCGGCGGCGGCGGCGGGCGAGGCGGCGCGAGCGCCGCGGGGCGAGGCCCGAGTCGCATGGACCGCATGCGCGCGGCGATGATGGGCGAGGAACCACCGCCGCTTCCCGCGCCCGGCGGCGGCGGGCGCGGCGGGGGCGAGGGCAGAGGAGGAGGAGGAGGAGGAGGAGGAGGAGGAGGAGGAGGACGTGCGTTCAACGACCTCACCGCGGAGGGGCTCGCCGGCGGCGGCACCGCCGCGGAGCGCAACGCGTTCGCCGCCGTGGCGAAGGCGATCCGCGCGCGCGAGTCGAAGTCCAGCGCGGCGTCGTCGAGAGCGGCCGCGAAGGCGGGGAACAAGAAGGCGACGGGGGACTTGGAACCGAGGAGGGACGAGGCTCGGGTCGCGGCCGGCGGCGGCGGCGACGGCGACGATCCGTACGCGGACCCGAAAGTCGGCGCGGCGAAACTCGCGAAACGAGGGATCTACGTCCACGCGCTGACTGGCCGCGGCGGCATCATCGCGCGCGTGAAGCCGTCGTTCGTGATCCTCTACGACCCGGACGCGGCGTTCGTACGCGAGATCGAGACGTTCACGGCGCGTCGCCCCGGCGCGCCGCTGCGAATTTACTTTCTCGTCCACGAAGGCAGCCTCGAGGAGCAGCGATACGTGTCCCAACTCAGGTACGAGACCAACGCTTTTGACTCGCTCGTGCGCGCGAAGCAGCACATGTCGATGCCCGCGGAGCAAGAGGGCCGAATCGGCGGCGGCACCGGAGACGCGACCGCCGCGGAGCCGGTGTTGCCGTTGCCGCAACTCCAGCCGCTGCTCGATCCGACGAAGGACGCGGCGGAGAAGAGCACGCGCCGCGCCGGGGGTCAGCTCACGGTCCCGACGCGTCTGCACGTCGTCGTGGACATGCGCGAGTTCATGTCGTCGCTGCCGTCGGTGCTGCATCAGTCCGGGTTCAAGGTCATGCCCGCGACGTTGGAGGTTGGCGATTACGTCTTATCGCCGAACATGTGCGTGGAGCGAAAGTCGCTTCCCGATCTCATCGGCTCGCTGAACAACGGCCGGCTGTACCATCAGGCGGAGGCGATGTGCAAGCACTACAGGTACCCGATTCTACTCATCGAGTTCGAGGGCGACAAAGCGTTCGGGATATCCAGCGTGCAAGATCTGGGGAGAGAGATCGACCCTCGAAGCGTGCAGAGCAAGCTCGTGTTGCTCATCTACGCGTTTCCGAAGCTGCGGCTCATGTGGTCGCGGTCGATGCACATGACCGCGAAGATGTTCGCGGACTACAAGCTCGCGGAGCCGGAGCCGACGGTGGAGGTGGCCGCTAAGGTTGGGCTCCCGCCGGATTTGTCCGCGGACGGCGCCGGCGTGGACGAGCCGTATAACCAAGCCGGGATCGACTTTCTGAGGAAGCTGCCTGGAATCACCGACAAAAACTTGCGGAGGGTGTTGGACACGATCGAGTGCGTCGCGGACCTCGCGGAGATGTCCCAGGCGGACATGGCGAAGATGTTGGGGGATAATCGCCAGGCGAGGACGCTGCACGAGTTCCTTCACACGGAGTTCCCGTCCGCGGTGACGGCGGCGGGGAGGAAGTGATGACGCGACGACGACGACGACGACGATGATTTTAGAAACGTTGCGAACAAACTAGAGTCTCATAGCACGCGAAGGACGCGCATTGTCACGTCACGCCGATCCTCCTAAACGGCGATATCTTCCTCCGCTCGAACATCACCTTCTCGTCCTCGTTGATCTCGCGCTTGGTGCCGTCCGGGTACGCGACCCACGGCGTCCCTCGCATCTCGATCTTCGACCCCGCGACGTCGCCTCTCCTCTTCGCCTGCTTCCGCCGCTTCGTCGAGTTGTCTTTGTTCATCGGGATCACCATCAGCGGCCACCCGCCCTCGGGTCTCTTCCGCCGCTGCTTGAACCGCCCGCTTCTCAACAACCCAGGCCCGGTCTTCATCAGGTTGTAGTCCAGATCCCGTTTAAACCGCCGCAGCATGTGCCGGTCCTCGATATCCGCCTTCTCCTGTTTGCTCACGTACGGCGGCAGCGCCTCCACCACCCGCTCCGGCGTGAAGTGCGTCGGCACCACCTGGTAGTTGGCCTTGTGGTAGTGACACCACTGGTGCCTCTCGCCGTTCCCGTGGTGCGCGATCCCGTCGTGCCACGCGTAGTTGACGTCAATCTGCGCGCACGTCTCGCGGCCCTCGAGCTCCCACTTCCGCTGAGGGTCGTTCCGTACGAGCGAACGTCGGGGTGGAGTTCAGGGGCGTCAGTCGGAGTTGAAAGGCGTCGAGGTGTGTCGGGATTGTGAGCGAGGGGTGGGCGCAGAGATGCGCCGGGAAAAGTCCTTAAGAAACGGCCTTCACCACGCCAACGCGGTCGTATGGGGACCAGTGTATAGAACGCGCCTGAATGTCCTTCAGCGCGATGATCGCGAGCACGCGTTGCTGCCTCACGTTGTAGTGCGCCGCCAGCCGCTTCGCGGTCCACGTCTCCGGGTCGCTCTTGTGCCGCAGGTACATCTCCGTCTTGGAGTAGTCCGACAGCTTCGTATCCGCGTCGAACGGGTGGTCGTCGATCGTGAACCCGTTCTCGGAGAAGTCCTCGAGGCGCCATCCCTCCGGCGGGACGTACTCCGTGTTCGCGCAGAGCACCTCCCACGGCTCCACCGCGGTCATCGCGACCGTCTCGCCGTCCGGCGTCGTCGTCGCCATGTGCAGCAGGCGGTAGTCCTTGCCCTCCGGGCCCTGGACGTCGAACTCGCCCTCCTCGCCGTCGTCGTCGCCGTCGTCGTCGCCCTTCTCCCGCTTCGCGCCGGCGACCGCGCGCGAGGATCCTCCGCGCTGGGCGTCTTCGCCTCCGCCGTCGCCGCTCGCGGGCGCCGCGTCGGGATCGCGGAACGTCGGGCCCGCCGCCGCCTCCGCCGCCGGGGGATCGATGTCCGCCGTCGGTCGCGCCGCCATCGGGTGCGCGGTCACGCCCTTGTCCGTCTCGTCCGAGGACGCGAACCGCGGCCACGTCCACCGCGCCGGATGCTCTCCGCGCGCTGGATGCGCTCCTCCTCTCGCGATCGCGGCCCGCGCGACGGGGGCGGCGACTCGAGACGCTGCGCGCATCCGCCCCGCCATCGCGGTGACGAGGCGAAGCATCGCGGCGATCGACGTTCGCCTCGCGCGCGGACGGTGCGCGTCGTGCGCGTCGGCGCCGAGTCGACTGAAGGCGCGCGACGACGTGTGACGCGCGCGTCCACGCGAGGAAGGAACCCTAGAAATGTGCGTGGCGAGAAGACGTTGAGGCGCGTCGTCCGTTGACGAATGAATTCGAATTCGCACGCTCTCGCACACTCCGCGTCGCGCGGTCCCCTCGCCGTCGCCATGGGGATGCTCGGCGCGAACCTGCCCGAGAGCGCGAAGTACCACCACAACCCGGAGTGGAACGACGCGGACAAGCCGCCGCCGCCGCCGCGAGCCGCGGAGACGGCGACGACGAGCGCGACGGAGGACGCGCTGCCCGACTTCGCCGCGCTCGCGGAGCGCGCGCGCGCGATCGCGGAGGCGGCGAAGAAGGCGACGCCCAAGGTGGATCGCGAGGCTTCGCGCGCGAAGCTCCTCGCCGCGGACGAGCGGTGGGGCGTCGGCGTCGCCGCGGACGGGCGCGCGTACTACTTCGAGAAGGCGACGCAGTCGACGCAGTGGCGGACGCCGGGGGCGCTGAAGGGCGCGCGCGCGCGAGTCGTGATGGGCGAGCGCACGACGAAGCCGTCGCCGCCGCCGCCGTGGAAGGCGATCGTCGACGCGAAGAGCGGGCGGACGTATTACTGGGACGCCTCGAGCGGGGAGACGACGTGGACGATGCCGGAGAAGACGGGGTGCGCGCCGGCGGTCAGGGTGATACCCGCGCGACCGCCGCCGCCGACGCCGACGCCGGCGGAGGACGGCGTCGACGCGGAAGAGAATCACTAGCTACTAGTCTACTAGGTAGCGACGGCGACGGCGATCGCGCGTGTTAGCCGACGTCGTCCACGGAGAGAGAGAGGGAGAGAGACGCGCGAGCGAGTCTTACAGATCGATTCAGATATAGACAAGAACGGAACTAGCGCCGGTTACCGGCGTCGTCGTCCCCGCGAGCGCTCTGCTCAGCGCGCGGGCGTCGCGGTTTTCATATTTCGCTTCGTCTTGAAGATCATGTCCACGACGTCCTCGACAACCTTGTCCGGCGTGCTCGCGCCGGACGTCACGCCGATCACCACGTCCCCTTCCGGGAGCCAGTCTTTCGTCTCCACGAGCTCCCCGTGCGCGAGCCTGTGCGCGATGACGTTGTCTTCGTCGAGCCGCTCGGGGGTGTCGACCCAGAAGCTCGGCACGCTCGCGTCCTCGCTGATCTCCTGCAAGTGCTGCGTGTTCGACGAGTTGTACCCGCCGACGACGAGCATCATGTCCGGCTTATCCTCCACGAGCTGGTACATGGCGTCCTGTCGCTCCTGCGTCGCGTCGCAGATCGTGTCCATGACCATGTAGTGATCGGCGAGGTTCGCGACGCCGTGTTTCTCCATCATCGTCCGCTCCAGGAGCTTCCCGATCGCCTGCGTCTCGCCCTTGAGCATCGTCGTCTGGTTCGCGATCCCGAGGCCGTCCAGGTCGACGTCCGGGTCGAACCCTTCGCTGTGCGCGTTGACGAACTTCGCCATGAACTCCTCCTTGTCGCCGCCGTTGAGGATGTAATCGCACAGGTACGTCGCCTCCTTCATGTCCTTGATCACGAGGTACGTCCCCGCGAACGACGCCGTCGCCACCGTCTCCTCGTGCGCCCACTTCCCGTGAATGATCGACGTGAACTCCTTCCTCGTGTGCGCGTCCACGGCGTTCCACACCTTGGACACCCACGGGCACGTCGTGTCCACGATGGACGCGCCCTTCTCCGCGAGGAGCTTCGGGTCGTTCCACACGAGCAAACGTCGGGGTGAAGTTCAAAGGCGTCAGGTGGAGTTGAAAGGCGCCGAGGTGTGTCGGGATTGAAAGCGAGGGATGAGCGGAGAGATGCGCCGGGAAAAGTCCTTAAGGATCGGCGTTCACCACGCGAACGCGGTCGTATGGGGACCGGTGTATAGAACGCACCTTCATCTCGTGCACGGAGGCGCCGAACGCGGGGAGGATGACCACCTCGCCGTTCCCCACGCCGCTGAAGTCCTTCCCGTCCTTCGTCTCCTCGATGAAGTTCACGCCCATGTCGCCGAGGCGCTTGTTCACCGTCGGGTTGTGGATGATCTCGTTCGTGATCCACAGCTTCGCGTCCGGGTACTGCTTCCGCGCTTCGTACGCCATCTGGACGGCGCGCTCGACGCCCCAGCAGAAGCCGTAGGCGTCCGCGAGCTTGAGCGTGACGCCCGTCTCCGCGTCGACGTAGGAGTTGCCGCTCTCGCGCATCTTCGCGACGAGGCCGTCTGTCGAGTTAGGGTTGGGTTCGGTTCGGTGTGGTGCGGTCGTGAGGCGAGGAGGCGCGATCGCGCGAGCGAGCGAGCGATATCGCGACGGGACGGGACGGAGGGAAAGAAGAGATAAGAGCGATCGCGAGATCGTCGCGCGATCCAGGCGGGACGCACCGACGGAGTAGCCGATCCCCTCCCTCGCCATCCTCTCCGCGGACTCCTTGTCCTTCGCGAAGCGGCGGTTGTACTGATCCGACTTGCTCAGGTCGCGGCGGAACGTCCGCGGGTCGAACTTGTCGCCGTACGAGCTCGGGTCGAATTTGAAGCCAGCGTCGGCCTTCTCCTCGGGCTCTTCCTCGTCGTGCGCGGCGCGGACGCGGAACGCGTTCGCGCGGCGCGTCGCGCGCGCGTTGCGGCGCCCGAGGGGCATCGCGGTCCCCGCGAAGCTCGCGGTGGCCATGACGGACATGATTGCGGTGAGGGTCGTGTGCTCGCGCGTACGATCGATGACGCGCGCGCGGCCTCACACGCGCGCTCGTGGCTGGAATATCTGCGAGCGAATCACATCAGCGATCGGCGTGCCGTCGCCGAAGCTTCACCGGGTCGATCGGTCGCTCGGTTTCACGGTGAGGCCTCGGACTAAACCATCCGGAAGTTTGCGGAAATCTGCCGGTTTCAAGCACCCCCGATCGACCCTCGGACTAAACCGTCCGGGAGATTTTAGGCCTCGGACTAAACCATCCGGAAGTTTTGACCCGCGTGGTTTTGGTTTCTCGCTTGCTTTCCAACTTTTCTGGTCGTATTATCTACCCCCCCCCCCCTCCCCCTCGACCTTCTCTCACTCCCACCCCGTCCGCGGCGACGCGCGCGCGCCCGCGGCGCGGATGTGATCCCCCGGGCTGGGCGCCAGGTCCGCGAATATCCCCCCCACGCCTCGTCGCGGCGACGGCGACGGCGACGACGCGAACAAACCCGCGCCCGGCGATCCGATCGATCCGCCGCCGCCGCCGCCGCCGCCGCCCAGCCGCGGCGGTTCGCGTCGACCGAGGTTCGGCGACCCGTCGCCGTGCCCCGCGAATATCGTCGCGCCGCTCCCGCTCCACCCGCCGCCGCCGAGAGCGCCCGCGCCGCCGTGCCCGTTCAGGTCCATCAACCGCGCGTTCGTCGCGCGCAAGGTCCGGTTCTGATGACGGTCGTTCCATACAAAAATGTTCATCGGTCAGTACACGTACGTTGAAATGGGACGCGATCAATTGTTGAAACCGAACGGTGGGTGAAACACGTTTGTTACTGTGAACGCACCTGAGCCTCGAGCGTCACGACGCGGCGGTTCGCCTCCAGGAGATGCACGCGCTCGTCCTGCCAGCGCTCGTTCGTCTCGCGCGCCGCCGCCGCCGCGGTCGCGACTTCCTCCTCCCTCGCGCTGTTCGCCGCGCGCCACGCCGCGATCTCGCCCTGGAGCTCTCTCATCGAGGCCGCGTCGCGCGACTGCGCGTCCCTCGCGTCACGCAACGCGCTCTCCAGCAGCCGCGTCCGCTCGGCGGCGTCCGCGCGACACCGCGCCTGGGTGGAGTTCGGAGTTCAGGGGTGGGTGCGTCAGATGGAGTCGCGAGGCGTCGAGTGCGGGGTTGGTTTGAAACCGAGGGACCCTGGGCGGAGAGAAACGAAACGGAAACGACCGCCGGGAAGAAAAGTCAAAGTCATAGTCCTCGAGGAACGGCGCGCGCCGCGCGAACGGGGTCGCGAGATGGGGACCGGCGGGAGTCGGGACGCGCCTCCGCGTCCAGCCGCCCCCGCAAGTCCGCGATCTCCGCGCGCGCGTCCGCGAGCGCGCGCCGCGGCGGCGCCTCCGCCTCAAACGCACGCAGCTTGTCGCGCATGCCGTGGATCTCCGCGGACGCGCGGCTCGCGTCGCGCTCCGCCGCGGCGAGTCTCTCCGCGAGCCCCGCGCACTCAGGGTCGTTCCATACAAAGCGATGTCGGGGTGGAGTTCAAAGGCGTCAGTTGGCGTTGAAAGGCGTCGCAGGCGGGGATTGAAAGCGAGGGATGAACGGAGAGAGACGACGGCAAAAGTCCTTAAGGAACGGCGTTCACCACGCCGACGCGGTCGTATGGGGACCAGTGTATAGAACGCACCTCAACCTTGGCGTCTCGCAGCTTCTCGTGCATCACCTTCGAGTCCTCCACCGCGGTCGCGCGGCACGTCTCCAGCGCGCTCGCGGCGTCCTGCGACGCCACCCTCGCCTTCCTCTCCACCTCCGCGATCGCCTCGCGGTGCTTCTCCGCCGCGACGCGCTCCTCCTCTCGCGCGAGCCGCGCGGCGCGGTCGAGGCTCTCGTCTCGTCGCTTCACCTCCGCCGTCAGCGTCTCGTTCACCTCCATCAGACGCGCCGTCTCCGCCTTGTCCGCCGCATGGCGCTCCGCCCTCGCCCTCGCCGCGGCGACGACCGCCTCGAGCTCCTTTTTCGACGCGATCGCGGCCGCCTTGCACTCCGCGGCGTCGAGTTTCGCGGCGTCGAGTTTCGCGCGCGTCGCGTCCGACGCCGCGCGCGTCTTGGCCTCGTCGGAGCGCGCGAGCGCCGCGTCGTTCTCCGCGGCGACGCGCCGCGACTCCGCGTTCGCGAGCGTCGCGCTGCTCTCCGCGCGGACGGACGCCGCCTCCGCGCGCGCGGCGGACGCGGCGTCTCGCGCGGACTCCGCGTCCGCGGCGAGCGCGTCGAGACGGTGATGAAGTTGGAGATTCACGCGCTTGACTTCGTCGAGCTCCGCCGCGATCGCGTCGCGCGCCCTGGTCGCGTCCTCCGTCGCTCGCGCGCCGTCCGCGGCGCGCAGGTCCGACGCGCGCAGGCGCTCGTTCGCGGCGTCGAGGGACTCGTTCAGGTGCTGCGTGAGCCGCGCGACGCTCGTCGCGGTCGCGTCGTCCGTCGTCCCAGCCGCCGCGCCGGGCGGGCTGCCCGTCGCGAGAGAGCCGCTCGATCGGCCGATCGCGGCCGACGATAAAACTCCGCGACGACGGTTCGCGACGAACGCCGCGGTGTGCGGGTCCGCGTAGAGACGCTCCGCGTCGTCGTCGTCGTCGTGATACGTCGGGTTCCCGGCGTCGTCGTAGCCGCGCGGCTCGTCGCCGTAGAGCGCGTCGCCGTAGAGCGCGTCGGCGTCGAGCTCGGGATCCTCCTCCGGCGTCGTCGTCGTCGTCTTCTTCTTCTTCTTCACGAGCTTCTTCGTCTTCGGTTTCGAAGACGCGTCCGAGACGCGCGATTTCGTCGTCGCGGAGGACGACAGCGACGACCGCGTCGTCTTCTTGGCCGTCGTCGACGCGCGCCCGAACATCGTGCCGCAGACGGCGGAGGGCGCCAAGCGACTGTGACGCGGAAGATCGAATGTCCGATCGATCGTCTCACGTGTGTCAGCAACGAACTGATGAAACGTGTTTTGCGTCGTCTGGCGGAACGAACGAGAGACTCCTATTCGTCGAGGGCGCGCGGGCATGGACGCGCCGCGCGAGGACCCGGCGGCCGCGCGGCGGCGGCGCCCGCGGCGGAAAAAAGACCCGCACGACGCGGGCGGCGCCGCGTCGCCGGCGAAGGACGCGGGCGCGGGGGGGCGCTCGGTCGCCGCGCGATCGCCGTCGTCGCGAGTTTCCAATTCTTCGTCATCCGCGGGGCGGGGGAATCCGCGAAACGTCGTCGCGGGCCGCGCGTCGTCGTCGCCCGCGCGCCCCGGAACGCCGTTCGACGAGGACGCGATGGGCCCGGAACCCGAGCTCGGTGGGCGGTGCCGCGCGGACGACGGGACGTGGCTCGCGTGGGAGCTCGCGCTCCCGCGCGCCGGCGCGTCGCCGTCGCGCCCGCTCGTTATCCTCGTGAACGGCCTCTCCAACGACGGAATGCAGTGGCGACGGCTGAAGCCCGCGATGACGCGAACGCACGCGGTGCTGTCGTGGGACTACCGCGGCCACGGATGCTCCGCGGACCCCACGGACGTGTCGTCTGTCTCGATCCGAGCGCTCGCGGGCGACCTGGAGCGCGTGCTCGCGGACGCGCGCGTGCGATCAGGCGGCGCCGTCTCGACGCGTCGCGTCGCGCTCGTCGCGTACTCGCTCGGCTGCCAGGTCGCGCTCGAGTGGTGCCGCGGGAACTCGCACCGCGTCTGCGGGCTCGCGCTCGTGTTGGGGTCGTGTCGGCACGCGATGACGGGCGCGCTGCGGTGGAAGCCCGTCGCGGACGTTGCGGCGGCGGCGATGCGAATCGCGCCCGCGCCGGCGGCGTACGCGTGGGATTGCTTCACCGCGTTCGCGTTCGCGTTCAGCTACGCGTCGCATCTCGCGGCGCGTCTGTTTGGGATACTGCGCGTGAAGTACGTGGACTTCGAGCCGTTTTACCGGCACTTGAAACGCCTGCACGCGGGGAGTTACACGCGGATGCTCATCAGCGGACAAGAGCACAGCGCCATGGACGTCCTCGAGCTCGTCGACAGGCGCGAGATACCGACGCTGATCGTCACCGGCGGGAAGGACGTCACCGCGTCCGCGTCCGGCGTCCGCGCGATGCATCACGCCGCCCCGAGGGCGGACTTCGTGCACCTCCCGGGCGCGTGCCACGCGGGGATGATCGGAGAGGCGGAGGCTGTCGGAGACGCGATCGGCGCGTTCCTCGATCGCGCCGCGGAGACGCTGGAATTTAACCGCGCGAGGGTGCTCGCGGCGACGGGGGTGGACATCTTCGCGGAGGACGCGGATGAGGACGACGAGGACGCGGTGTATTTCTCCAGGAGCGCGCCGACGTCGCCGACGACGAGGGGGTAGACGCGGGGACGCGAGACGTAGAAGAGAGCGAGCTGTATTTCTATTATCTGTATTTTTACGACTAATGACTCGGTCGTCGGAACCCCCCGCGCCATCGCGAGAGTAACTCCGCGAGCGTCCCCTCCTTCACCGCGCGGCGCATCTCTTTCCTGTCCGCCGCCGCCTGCTCCCGCGTCGCCCGCGCCGGGCCCCACCGCGGGCGACCTCTCTCGTGCGCGACCGCGCAGAACGGCCCCGCGCCGCCGCCGCCGCCGCCGCCGCGAATCGCCGTCGCGTTTAAATCGTGCGCGTTCTTCTCCCCCTCGCGCGTCATCGCCGCGAGCAGCGCGCCGTGCGCCGCCGCCCTCGGATCCTCCCTCGATCTCCTCGCCGCGCGCGTCGCCGCGGCGTCGCCGGTCGCCGCCCACGCCTCCGCGGCGGCGAGCGCCGCGGCCACTTTCGCGCGCGTCCGCTCGTCCATCGCGTATCTCTCCCGATCCGAGCTCAGCGTCGCCAGCGCGTTCCTCGCTCGCGCCCACCGCACGCCGTCGGTGTCATCGTCGTCGCGCGCGCCCAATCTGAGCGCGCGAAGGAGCGGCCGGACCGCGTGCCGCGCGCACCGCGCGGCGTCCGCGAGGTCTTCTCGGAGGAACCGATATTCCACAGGCGGTTCGCACCAACGCGCGGCTCGGCGTTGGAAGTACTGCACCTCGTCGACGCACAGCAGCGACAGTCTTCGCTCTTCGACCATGACGCAGTCGCGCAGGGTCATCACGAGGTGGATGACGTTGGGCGGGGAGAGCAGCGGGCACCCTCCCGCTTCGAGAGGGGCGACCCAGAAGACGGGAAGCTTCGCCGCGGTCGCCGCCGCGTCGCCGTCGGCGCCGGCGGCGGTTCTCGACCCCGGCGCGTACGCGCCGCCGAGCGGCGCGTCGCTGAACGGCGGCGTCAGCTCCTGAGGCGTCGGCAAGAAGTCGTCGGGGGTGTCGAACAGATCAAGCGCGCTCTGTTTCATCGTCTGGTTCATCACGCCGTCCTGGGAGATCCACTCGTAATCCTCCCTCCGCGCGAAGACGAATAATTTCACCACGGGCTTGCCCGTCGGGCCGAGCAACACGCGCGGCGGCGACGGCGGCGGCTCGGCGGTTGACGTTTCGTCTTCCCCCGCGCCGCCGCTCGCCGACCGTCCTCTTCTTCTTCTTCTCCCTCTCTCGGCGTATCTCTCCGCCTCCGCGTCGAGGTCCAGAGGAAGCGCGACTTGGAACACGAACTCGCCGCAGTCGTCGAGATGCCACCACGTCAACGCGTTCGCGGCGCTGAGACGCGTCGCCTGGTCCAACGGGACGCCGACGCCTCCGGTCTTGTACAGCGCGCCCTGCGCGGGGAGCGCGGCGACCGGGGTGCCGTCCGCGGACGCGGAGTGCCGTCCTCGCGAAGACGAAGGCGACGGTTCGTCTTCGTCAGACGAATCGTCGCCGCTCTCGTCGCCGTCGCCCGCCTCGCGCTCGACGGAGAAAAACTCCGGCAGCGGCCACGCCAGAGATCTCGCCAACGCCGGCACGGACGTGTCGTCCCTGTGAAACATCTGCAAGTTCAGCGGCTCGTCGCCGTCCACCACCTCCGCGAACGAATCGACCATCTTCATCTTCCGCTCGCTCAGGAGGTGCGTCCCCGGCGCGCCCCAGCCGCCGACCATCGCCACCTTCGGACGCGGAAACGCGCTCCACGCCGACGTCGTCGCCCACGCCACGCCGTCTGTCTGATGATTCGTCGGATTCGTCGTCGTCGGGGACGTCTCCGTCTCCGTCGCCGTCGCCTTCTCCGTCGCCGTCGCCGTCGCCGTCGCGTCGCCGCCGCCTTTCCCTTCCCCGTTCGCGTCCCCGCTCCCGTCGTCGCCGCGCACGGCGTCGAAGACTCCGCGCGCGTGCGTCGGCGGCGCGAGGAACGGCGTCCCCTCGAACGCCCTCTCGCGCTGCTCCTCCGTCGTCGTCGCGTACGGCACGAGTCGGCACGACAGCGCGGGAGGGATCCCTTCCACGAACGCGCGGGGGAGGCCCCAGGATTCGAACAGATCGCGCATGCCGTGCGTCTCGTCCGCGCCGAGCGTCTGCGCGATCGCGCGAGGTCTTCTGAGGGAGGCGTCCGAAGCGGACGCGGTCGCCGCGCCGTGGGGGCGCGTCGTCGTCGACGGCGCGTCGTCGTCGTTCGCGGCGGCGGAGGAATGATGCTTCATCGCTTCGGAAGCCGCGGTCGTCCTCGCTCGCTTCCTCGCGTCGTCGTCGTCGTCGTCGTCGTCGTCGTCGTCCGCGCGCATGCGACCGCCGCGGGCGACGTCCGCGCTTCTCCGCGACCGCGCGGCGTCCACGCCGCCCGGCGCGGCCGCGTCGATCAGGGCGCGACCCGAGCGCGCGTTCCTCACTGGCGACGGAGACTCGTCATTATTCATCTGTCCCCACTCCCGGACTGCCGCCAGTGCCGCGCGAGACACGTCAGCAGCCAGCGTCACTTCACCCCGCGCGCGCCCACCGCACCGCGGCCGCTTCACCACCGCCGCAACGATGCTCGCCGTCGCCACGTCCCGCCCCGCGGTCGTCGCCCGCGCCCGCGCGTCCGCGTCCTCGCGCGCGCGCCTCGCGTCCCCCGCGCGCGTCCTCGGGCCCGCGCGCGCCCCCGCTCGCGCGCTCGCGGCGATCCGCGGCGACCTCGCGCGCGCGCGCGCCGCGGAGGAGGAGCGCACGATGAGCGCGCTCGACGCCGTGCTCGGCTCGAGCGACGAGAAGGAAGCCGCGGAGGTGCGACGGCGGTCGAGAGCGAACCCTCGCGCGGCGTCCGGCGTCGCGCGCGCCTCGCGCGCTCTCGCGTCGCGTCTCTCGTCAGCCTGTAGACACAGCTGTATCTCTCGCGTTGCCACCTCACCATCCGTCCTGTTTTTCTTCCTCCGTCCGTCGCGCCTCCCGCAGGAACCGGCCTCTCCGCCGCCGCCCGCGCGCGCCCCCGGCGGCGTCTCCCCCGAGATGAAAGCGCGTCTGCTGAACGAGTCCGTCGGCCTCGGCGGCCTGCCGAACAAGCCGATGCCCGCGAACTTGTTCCTGAACATCTGCGTCGGCGTCGCCGCGTTCGCGATCGTCGCCAAGCTCGGCGGCGCGTTGGGATGAGTCCGCGTCCGAGTCGAGTCGACGCGGGCGAGGACGAGATGCGAGAGAGAGAGAGAGAGAGAGAGAGAGAGGGCGTGTACGAATAGGAACGAACCCGGGAGGTTCGAGCGGTGTAATACGGGTAAACGCGAGTCCCCCCGCGACGCCCGCTACAGTGGACAAGTCTGCTGGAAGCGCTGTACACGTGTAGCGGCGCTCCGGTCGCCGGATGCGATGCGCTCGCGCGCTCGCCAGCGAGCTCGCGCGCGAAAAATCGCGACCGGACCGCAACGGGAAACTCCGAAGGGACGCGCCGTCCTACGACGCCACTGACGCGCGCGCGATCATGCTTCGTCGCTCGCTCGCGTCTTTGGCGGTCGCCGCCGGTCGCGCGAACGCCGCGCGCGCCGGATGCGTCGCTAATATGCGCACGATGCCGACGGGCTTCGCGTCTTCCGGGGAGACCCCGACGGGCGCCGATCGCGGCCTCGCGCATCGCCAGCTCGCGGCTGCCGCGGCGTTCAGAGGTGCGCCCTCCGAGACGTCTTCCATCGTGGCGACGCGCGATTCGACGACGCGCGCGCCTCGTGGACGCTCTTCGTCGCGTCTTCGCGGCGTCGGAGCGTCCATCGCGACGTCGCGTCGCGCGTCGTCGCGCGCGCCCGCGCGCGCACCTAGGGCTTTTTTTCCGTCCCGCGCGTAACGAAAACGGGGGATCGATCGGTCGTTCGAGCGGATCGATCGCTCCGCGATCGCGCGATCGCACGCGCGCTGACCCCCCGCCCCCCACCTTCGCGATCCTCAGGCATGGCCACGGACGTCGCGACGACGTCGAACACCGCGAACAGCGGCGCGATCACCGCCGCGCTGAAGACCCCCACCGCGGACATTCAGTACGATCTGAGCAACCACAGCGTCGACAAACCCGGAGACCCGTCCAAGCGCGCGTTCACGTACTTCGTCCTCACCGGTGGCCGCATGGTGTACGCCTCCGCGCTGCGTCTGACGGTGTTGAAGTTCCTCCTCTCCATGAGCGCGTCCGCGGACGTCCTCGCGCTCGCGTCGTTGGAGGTGGACACGTCTAAGATCGAGTCGGGGCAGACGGTGACCGTGAAGTGGCGCGGGAAGCCGGTGTTCATCCGCCGACGAACCCCGGGGGAGATCGAGAAGGAGGTGGCGGTGGACGTCGGGAGCCTGCGGGATCCGCAGACGGACGGCGAGCGCGCGGCGGACCCGGAGTGGCTCGTCGTCGTCGGCGTGTGCACGCACTTGGGGTGCGTGCCTATCTCCAACGCGGGCGATTACAACGGCTGGTTTTGCCCGTGCCACGGCTCGCACTACGACGCGAGCGGGCGGATTCGCAAGGGGCCGGCGCCGTACAACCTCGAGGTGCCGGAGTATAAGTTCACGGAGAGCGATAAGATGGTGATCGGGTGAGAGAAGAGTGAACGTCGAGCGCGCCGGGCGCGGACCGAGTTTGGGGGCCGCGACCAAAAACTGTATTTGCGTCTTTCTCACATCTGTAAAAGACAAGCCTTTTAGCCTACGCACTACTACGCCCCACCCA